TTCGATAAAGCGAAAAAAAACATATTATATTTTATGTTTTATATGTATACTAGCGTGTACCCGCGACTTCGTTCGCGTCGAATTAATCATTGGTAATGGTGATGATAAAGCAAAGCAAGAATTTCCATTAACATACAAACTGGATAAAATTTTCTCACTTTTATGTCAGCATGAGAAAAAACAATATGGCGATATTATTATATAACTTGGTAATAATTGAGGGGTAGTTTCATCTCGTTGGAATTTGACTTTCGAAAAATCCGTTTGCCAAAAATAAGCTTTTTACGTCAAGCACAGTTTAAGCAGAATCGTGGTTAATCAAATGGAACAAGGCTGACACATTAGCATATTTGGAAAACATTTTTTTATGAATATATTGATACCACACACTTGGAATTTCGAGTCAAATTGTCGTTATGAACATGGCTGGGAAACTTAAATGGAAATGACAGTTCATTAAAAATAGTTTTTCCTCCAAGATGCAGAGGCGCAAAATATTAAAACTGTCAATATCAACAATGCAAATGTCAATATCTGACAATAATAAAATTTGATTTTTAACCGACACAAGACACTCAGAGACGCTTTTGTTGCGATTTTACGGTTTAATTTCGTTTTGGTTTGTCGAATTATTGTAAAAAAATTCCTTCCGATTTTTTGGCAGTATTCTGTTTTAGACAATGTTTTTTAAAAATGGTGGGACAATTTGTGTTTTGTATAGACTCTTAGTTATTTTTTATCATGGAGTTTAATTGTTGTACACCGGGTTTCCTAAGAATACAATGGTAAGTAAATTAAATATATCTACTTACAGTTATAGATTTTTTAAATTAGTACTGTATTAGTACTAATAAATGCTACTTGCTGAGCAATTATTTATTTTTTTACTGTGCATGTAAGGAATTAAGGACGCGCGTTGCGTTATATTAGCATGATCAGCAGATGATTAAATCTAATTTAATTTGTTTTTATTATTTCAGGTCTCAAACGGAAACAAACTGGGAATCTTGCCTACACCAAAATTATATAGCCGTTTCTAATTCACTTCAAAGGGAGGAAAATTATGTAAAACTGCCTGCTACTTGCTGAAGACCGCCAAAGATAAATTATAACTATAACAACTTAATATATACTATTACTAGTTTTTAATATTTTTTTAATTAATATCCGACATATAAGAACACTTTGTATGCTCTTAATTAAGTCGATTTATCGTTTATAATATGTTCGACCTAATTAAAAGCACACAAAGTGTTCTTACATGTATGACTAAATTTATTTTAAATTAACTCCCCCAAAATTAAAATTAATTAAAATTATTATTAATTAAAATTTATTTAAAATTAACTCCCAATTAATTCCCATAATAAAACAACCCCCCTTCCCCGCACCCCACTCTTCCCTTAGTATTTCTTTCTCCGACTACCAGAGGCGCCCTTGTATAATAAAATTGAAATGTATTATAAGTTGCCTATCTATTTAATATTATAAGTCTCTTATCTATGGTTATGAACCGCGTGTTACAATTACAATTAAACCATATGCGAAAATGTCAAAAGTTGATCTATGATATGTCATTCTATTCAGAGTGTCATTTTCTATCGAATAAAGTAGAAATATACCGAGGGTGCCATTTAAAAATTAAAAGTTATAGTAATTTCCGGTGAAACAGGAAGTGACCAAAAACAATTGAATGCGTCAATCAATCCTAATTTATGTCATATATAAATATAATAAAGACAGTACCGAGTTAAATAAATGTAGTTTTCATTTTATCCACTTCCTATCACCTTCCTTGCTTTAATGGAACAGATTTATGTTTTCTCTAATTTACATAATAAGACATCACTTAACCAGAAAAATAATTACAACAATCATAATTTTTTTTCTCTCCCTGTCGCCGATTCTATTATATCTGTAGAATAGAAATAATCTGTTTTGATTAATATTAGGGGTGCTAAATGTTTGACTAAAATTAATAATTTATTATTAATTTCAAAAATTACGTAATTTCGATTATAAAATTTCTTCTATAACATGTATTTTATTATTTTTATCTTTTTTGGACTCTAAGACGTTTTTTTCTAAACTTTTATTTAAAAAAAAACCCTAAATCTTAATAAAATATAAAAAAGTTTAAATACGATATATTTTTAATTTAATTATAGCTTTATTAAAATAAAAAAATTACCCGGCTATAATACGGAGAGTTCAGGTGTACTTGAGAAACGAAAGACAGTGTTGCGCAGAGAGCTGCCAACCGTACGAGGTTCCTCGTACAAATACGAGATTTTTGACTTGCTGTACGAGGACACGACTTTCCTCGTACAATTATGTACGAGATTTTGATAAAAGATGATTTGATATTTTAACGTGACTTTTTACTTCGGCTTGGGTAATATTTTATAGCATTAATGAGGATTTTCCAAAGGAGGGACATTGGGTACGTTGATGTTCTCAAAACTCCTCTAAACAAAGATTCTCTTCTTCATTTTCATAGTTCCACTTCAAAATCTTTGGTCTTTGGAAAGTAAAGTATTGTAACCAATGCAAAGATTAAGAACTGTATTCCGATTATTAATTATTAAATTATTACTCTTTGACCAGTGTGCGCATTATTCTTGGCGCATTATCTCTTACTGTACTTTTATTTTAGGCGAAAGTGATACATCGTACTGATACATCTGGTATGATATCAGGATATTATACATATGGCATAGTAAAATTAAAGTACCGGCAAAGAGTAGATAAGTCTACTCTTTAGTACCAGTCAGAGATAATGAGTACACTGGTCAAAGAGAAATAACTGAAATAGTCGAAAAAACACACGAAACGTATAAGTATATAAGTACAAGGAGATACTTCACATATACCCTCATACTTTAAATACATGTAAATTACACGTGTAATTTTATAAACTAAGTAATAAATTACTACCTATCTCGTGGTCAAATTATTTATTAACATGTCTTCTCATTTAACATTAATTAAAAGATTAATATATTTAGTGCAATTTTTTGTCTTTATGGTAGTTATTTTAAATATTTGTTAAATGTACGAGGTTTTTGTCCGTTTTATAGCGAAATACGAGGTTTTTAGCTGTCTATGTAAGAGGGAAAAAGTTCTACGGTTGGCAACCCTGGTGTTGCGTTTCTCGTCAGAGTCGTCAGGGAACGACCGTTACGATAGAGCCAACCTATCTATCGCTCGTGTCGCACTCGTTATAACCTAAAACAATAACACAACAATAACAAGACATTGTCTGACCGCATGTTCCAGCTAATTATGAATGAGATGCTCAGTCTATATTTTATTTGTTGTCTATACTTTAAATGTGTTCGAGGTTTGGCAAGAAACAAGTTAAAAGCCACATTAAAAATCTTTCTAGCAAAGAAAGCCTTTTATTCATTAGAAGAATTTTACAGATCCGATAAAGCTGTGTTTATAAGTCTGATATCTAATGTGTAATATTTGTTGTTTGTATATATTAATTCTATCGTTTTTTATTTCTTCTATGTATTTGCTTATTTTACTTAGTTAAGATTTTAGTTTAATTGTAGTATTATCTTAACTGTAATTATATTATTTTGGTGTAAAATATTCTTATTTGACAATGTTTCCATGCCTGTTTGGGCTATTTTATGTGTTTTTATTGTAAACATTGGAAATAAATAAAGAAATAAAAGAAATATTTTAAGTCTATGGTTTATACAGTTTCTAGGGACCAGTTAGGGCGCATTTTATAAACAAGACAGTTAGACCCAGGGGCACGAGTTTATAAACAATAGAAAATGTGATATAAAATGAAATTGACACAAAAGATTGATAGATTGATAATAACAATCAAAATAAAAAATTTAGACCAATTCAGGTTTTTACCACACAATAGCGTTCAGTTTAAATATAATTTAAATCTATTACTTTACTTAAATATTGCCGCTACCCCTCCCAGACTCTATCTCTAGATGCGCCAATGGATAGACCTAGTATAATATTGTAAATTATAAAATCCTAATACCCTGTATTTTCTGTTTTTTTTTCCAGTTTTTTATTTATTAATATAAGCTCTCAGAGATTATACAAATATCTCAGAGATTATATTCCTATACTACCAGCCGCATAAATTTATTGGCAAATAGAAAATAATAAATCTATGTAGCTAGATATTTTTCTTCCAGATTACACAACACCATTAGTCCCAGTACACAATAAAGATTATAAGAATTAACCCAGGAATTAACTAATTATAACCGATTATAGCCTCGACTTTAACTGTATATTCTAACTAGATATAGTTAGAGAATAAACTATGGAGTAACATTTAAATTTGTTATGCGCGGTATTAGGTACCTATGCAAATCAAAATTAAATTGATTACTATTGCAGACTTGTGAATAAATTAAATAACCATGTCCTTGAAAGAGAATATTCCTCGAATAATATCTAATATAGACGTTTAAAAGACCGTCTGTTAATAACTTCTATTATTCAACTGAAATTATTACTTTTTTACTTGGCAAATGACCTTTTGATTAAAGTATTCTCAAAATTTTTGAGTCAAAAATAATATACCTATATTGGTATACCCCTATAATATTTAATAAAGTAACATTAGACATTAGAACAGGAATTCAGTTTGAAACAACCTTTTAAAACAGTTAAAATAAAAATGTTTCTGTGTTATTAGAAGTATTTCTAAACATTAAAAAGGAAAAAATATTTATAATTATAAAAGTGAATTTATTCAATAGAAACGACATTTAAGCTGTGTACATATTTAACATATTGTCTACAGAAATTCACTGGATAAAATAAATACGATGGTAAAATTTAAATGGCCTTTAATAAATTAAAAAAATCTATTTAAATAAAATAAAACGAAATTAGATGTAGGCAGTATGTGAAAAAAAATAACACATATAATTTAAAACAATGAAATATATTGCTTTAAAATACTGCTGTTAATAAAAAAGAACATGCGGAAAAGTTTATTTACCTACCTTTTTGTCATCTAACTTTCACAAAGTACATTGACACAAGAATCACAAAATTCACTTTTATGACTAAAACAGTTATTGCACTTATTAAATTCACGATTTCTAAATGTTTTCGAAAATGTCCGTCCTGTTTAAAACGAATTCTTTAAAATAAAACAAGGGAATTAAAGACCGCGACCACCAAACAATACAAACACTACGCTTATTACTTCGGAGCCATTTTGAAACGGTTCAGGATTTTGACAGCGTGTTTTTTTTTACCATGTTATAGAAAACTGTAACGACTCTTACAGATTACTAGACGTAATACATTAAGTAACCGAAATACTGAAATCTAAAATATAAAATAATTTCACCATTGAATTTCACAGATTACTTGAATTTATATGTATTTAAATAAGTAGTCTTTTTGCATATCAAATATTTTTTGTTTGTATAATTTACGATAATCCACGTTTATATTTTGCTGTTTTTTTCATAATCCCTTTTATTTCAAAGTTTTAATTTTGCCCGTGGCTCGAAAAATATTCTTCGCTTTCCGCCATCTGTTGGCTTTTTGGTTTAAAATTTCGTCTTGTGAAAGTATGGTTATGTTATGCAATATTATGTCAGATTTGTTTATATTCATATTAAATATTTTTAATCTACAATAGTTTTATATTTTTATATTATTTAACAGTAGTATTACGGTTATTATGTGATATTGTTACGTGCTGAGTGATACGTGTCTGTCTTGAATATTTAATATATACATAATACCCCTATTTTATGAGACAAGAAGCTGAGGTACAAAAATATCAGAATAAATATTTTTTTTTCGAATTAAACTATTTCTAAAACATTCCAGGGTATACCCACTTCAGTGTCAATATGAGGTCAGTGATTTTGCTTTTGTGTATTTTAATAAAATTCGTCTACATGAAAGAGTGGATTGATCCGCATGACATGAACACCAATGCAAAAGAAAAATATATTAAACCACGCCAATCAGACTTAAAGAGATCATCCAGCTATACATCAGGGACATACCCTAGTCAAACTGATCCTGCAGTATATATTTCATCTTTGAGAAGGATCGTTAGTCTTACTCTTAATGCAGCTTCTTTTAACAAAAGAGATCCTAAATTGTACATAGGGAGTATTAATTTTAAAATTGATCCTGATGATCTTGATTTCCTAACTATGTTTTCTAAGGATGAAGTTACACTTGATAAATTAAGGAGACTTGATGCTATTTTAACTGAAAGTTTTCAAAGATCTTATTTTCAAGACACTTGGGATATATTTGAACAGTATCAGTTTAATAGTATCTATTCTGCCATAACAAATGTGAATATTTGGCTGTTCATTGGAGCTTTATATATGTTATATGTCATTTATCAACTTTGTAGAAATGGCTTTTCTGTTGGATATATTATAAAATATCTTATTGTGGTTCTACTTGTTTATGACTTTGTTTTGAGATACAATAGTCTTGTTGAGGTAAGTTTTGGAGTTATTTTTTATTTTTCAAAAAAATTTAAAATTTCAGCAAAACTTTGTTTTTTATCACAGAGTTTTTATCACTAGTGTAGGTACATTTTTTATATGAAAGTCGTTTATATTAATTTGTCATAACCCAAACGTGTTATAAAAAATGTCTATACCTACATATGTGGCGGATTCATCTTTCCAAAAAAATCCTTTATGGGTATTTTGTCACTGCACTGCAAGAAAAATCTATGTGGCGGATTCATCTCTCCAAAAAAATCCTTTATGGGTATTTCGCCACTGGAATTTTCACACTGGAAGAAGGTATTTCGCCACTGGGTATTTCGCCACTGGCCATTTTCACACTGGAAGAAAATCTACAAAATAAAATAGTTATTTTTTGTAAACACTTCTGCGTTAAACCTAAAAAATTAAACCTAAACGGACACTGCTTGTCAGAAGTTATGTTTACAGTAAAATAAAACACTAAATCACCACAATACACCAAAACACTTTTATTTTTACACTGGACGCGCGTTTCGCTAACCATGTTAACATCATCAGCAGATTATAAACTGATATCTAGTTTATAATCATCTGCTGATGATGCTAACATGGTTAGCGAAACGCGCGTCCAGTGTAAAAGTAAAAGTGTTTTGGTGTATTGTGGAGATTTAGTGTTTTATTAATAATGTAATCTGTAATAATAATTAATAAATGTAATCTATGTTTACAGTAACAAAAATTTGCATAACAAAGAAAAAATGCTTAACGTTTCGGAAAGTTTATCTCTTTCCGTCGTCGGAAGCAAAAAAAAATACAAAGAATAAAGAAAAAAACTATTTAAAATATTTAAATTCAACTATTCGATTTTTTAAATATTTTAAATAGTTTTTTTCTTTATTCTTTGTATTTTTTTTTGCTTCCGACGACGCGACGGAAAGAGATAAACTTTCCGAAACGTTAAGCATTTTTTTCTTTGTCAGGCAAATTTTTATTACTGTAAACATAACTTCTGACAAGCAGTGTCCGTTTAGGTTTAACGCAGAAGTGTTTACAAAAAATAACTATTTTATTTTGTAGATTTTTCTTGCAGTGCAGTGGCGAAATACCCATAAAGGATTTTTTTGGAGAGACAAACGTGTTCTTTATTGTTCAAAAACTAGTATAGAATTGGTATAACTGTAATTGGTAATTTATTTAAATGAATTTGGGTTACATCAAATTTCAACAAAAAACAGTAGTGCCAAATTCATAGATGTTATTTAGTTAAAAAACAAAAACAGAACTAAAAACTTAAAAAATATGAAGGGCCTAGGGGAAAAACTTATATTATTAGGGGATAAGCGCCAATTTCATAATTTTAGGATTTTACAATATTATAGTAGGTCTAACTGGTCCCTACAAAATCTATAAACTCTGTAGGGCAATAGGTTGTTAAATCCTATGATATACTCACCGACACAAAAAATGGGCACTTTAAAATTTTCATGTATGCTAAAGCTATATATATTGTGTTCTAGTGGACTGATTTTGATGAATTTTTAAGCAATTTGTACCTAAATTATTTGACTTTTTAGTACCTTTTTCTAAACTAAAAATAAAATTGCTATCTGTCAATTATACGAAAGAAACACAAAATGTTGATATTTTGGTGAAAGTTTGAAAACCTGTGGAGTATGTTAACAAAGCAAGAATTTTAAAAATCATTCTACCATCTAGGTGTATATTTTCTCGATAGTTTGCTTTTTGATTCATCTCAATAACTTTATTTTTTTAGAGATATTCAAATAAAAAAAATAAAGACACTAACATTTTTTTTGAATTATTTAGATTAAAGCCATACCTTTGCTTTTGGTCCTAGTCATCAAACCAATAAAATAGTGTTTATGATTTATTTAATGTCATTGTCTTTCAAAAATCATATTATTGTTTGTTGTGCGGTTACTCTAGCAAATATGGTTTTAAGTGGTGTTAAGTCCAAAAGTTGATCTCTACCATGATCAATTAAAGCAGCAATAGCCGATACTTCAAAACTTACTAGAGTAAACGTCAATAAACAATACGACTTTTCAGTGACAGCGAAATTACAAAAACAATAACCACTATTTTATAAGTGTGTTGATGGGGACCCAAAGTCAATGCTAAAATTGGTGTTAATCGTTCTCTAATTGGTCTTATTCAAAAGCGAATATCTTCAATAAAAAAAAAGCTATTGAGATGGATCAAAAAACAAACTATCGGGAAAAGACGTACCAAGATGATAAAATTATTTTTAAGTTCCTTGCTTTGTTAACATATTAAAAACTTAAAATTAGGGATATACCGGAATTCCGGCGGTACCACTAAATCTGGCCTTTCGGTCAAAACTTCACTCCGGCCAGATCGTCAAAATAATTTGACCGGATTTGAAATTAAATTTGAAAAATCCTTTATGGGTATTTCGCCACTGCACTGCAAGAAAATCTACAAAATAAAATAATTATTTTTTGTAAACACTTCTGCGTTAAACCTAAACGGACGCTGCTTGTCAGAAGTTATGTTTACAGTAATACAAATTTGCCTAACAAAGAAAAAAAATGCTCAACGTTTCGGAAAGTTATCTCTTTCCGTCGTCGGAAGCAAAAAAATACAAAGAATAAAGAAAAAAACTATTTAAAATATTTAAATTCATCTATTCGAGAACACTTTACTTTTTTATGGTGGGTTCATACAGCCAAATAAAATAAAATAAGAATAAAATAAAATAAGAAATAAGGAATTCTTATTTGTGTGCGTTCATACAGTCAAATAAAATAAAATAAGAAATATATATTTGCTCATGCGCAGTACGATGAGGCTGGATAAAAGTTAACTTTTACGATTGTTTATAGTAATTTTACCATTTATAGTATATTTATTTGTTCGTTGCCTACTATATTATATATTTTACTTATGTGAAATTATAAAATAAATTAAATCCAAACTGAAAATATTTGTAGGTTAGAATTAAGCGTCCGCAAAGCCGTTTAAAATAAAATAACACATAAAATAAAACAAGAAGTTAAAAGATAAAGACTTCTTATTTTATTTGTTATTTTATTTGGCTGTATGAACGCATGTACGGTATCCCATATAACCAACTTTCTTATTTTATTTTATTTTATTCTTATTTTATTTTATTTGGCTGTATGAACCCACCATAGATGGTCTACAACAAGTCTACAAGAAACCGTTGACGTTCTGTTAAAATGACATTTTTAACTTGATATTTAAACTTCAAAATTAACAATTACTACCTGATAACAATTACTTAATAAGGTAAAACCAAAAAGCCCCAAACTTTCTCTATGATTATTTTTAAATTTTACGTATGTTATGTTTATTTATCTTGTTGTATCTATTGTTCTTTAAAATCAAAGAGGCGATTGCCATACATTACTAACATCTACAGATGCATGAGCAATACATTTATTTTTATTAGATTGAATTAAAAAAGCCTCTTTTATTTTTCTTTTAGAGGCTATCGCTTCTTTCATTATAATTTTGGCGTTATTAAAATTTATTCTGTGCCCTGTGTCCCAAGAATGCTGACAAATCTTAGATTTGTGAAAATCTCCCTTTCTTAAATAATCTTTATTTTCTTTAATTCTAACATTTAAGGGTCTAGATGTTTCACCAATGTAAAATTTATCGCATTCACAGGGTATTTCATTTTTTTTATTTAATGCATGCGTTCTCAATAGGCAGTGTTGCCATTTTGTTCCCCTATAAGTAACTGTCGAGTTAACAACCTGTATATTGTGTATTGTTATCATTATGTCTATGATTTAGGGTTTGTATTTCGTTTAATGTTTTGTCAATAAAATATAGTGGATAGTAGTTTTTTATTAATGTATTTTTTATGTGGTTTATATCTCTATTTAGTCAAATGTCGTCCGTACATATTATTTTTGCCCTATCATATAAACTTTTTATAACACCTTTTTTTACACTTATACTGTAATTAGATGTGAAATTTAAGTATCTATCTGCGTTTGTGGATTTTCTGTAAACATCCCGATCCGGTACATCCCTACTTAAATACATCAAAATTTTAAGGTGCACGTTTTTCGTACCGGTGAGTGTATATGCTTAGTAGACATATAGAATACACGGAAAGAACCTGATAACGACCTTCTTGATATTCTTGGCCTGGTAGTTTAATATTACATTATTTAAAAAGTCTTTGTTGATTTCAGGAGGCTGAAGAACATAATGCAAAATTATCTTATTCCTCTCAGTGCGATAGTACTAAAATGTCATGGAAAGAATACACAGCATTTTTATTTAGTAATATAATAAAATTATGTTTAGCTTAATATAGATACGTAACTGTTCCATTTCTAGGTAGTAGAAATTGCGAAAGGAAGACCGTAACTCCTTTAGATGCTTTCCTTCATCAAACAAAAAACTTGATCATAGTTCCACTAACTGCCCTTGGAACAGGATTTGGAGCATTTGGAAAAGAAATGTTTGGTGAGTTACTTATTTTGCAAATTGTTGAAGTGAAACTTCTTTACGCGTGTTGGTTTACTGGGTACCTTAGCGAGAGGAAAAGTGATAGAAGCAGTGTTGCCACAGCTACCCCATCCAGGGTAGATCTACCCCTTTGTAAAACAATTTAACCCCGGTATCTCGTGATAATCTACCCTGATGAAAAATAAGCTTGTGGCAACACTGGGAACGATCTGTGCCATACGCGGCTAAGAAAATCACTATAATAAACTTGACACTGTACCAACCTTTTTCATCGATAGGTATGTAGCGTCTGAATAACGGTCTATGTAAAGCATCTAGTTCATTTGCCAGCTGATAATTAGAATTTAGAGTTAGTATCTCGCATTTTCATTGGAAGACACTGTCATATTTATTTCAAACCAATAATCAACGAGAATATTCGTATAATTTAAAAAAATTACTGTAAATCACTATAAATTTAATGAATTATTTGTAATTGAGCTGTAATTTCTGTATTATTAATCCGGTAAATGATGGAGATAAACAATTGTGATTGATTAGAATTTTATTTTACGATGAAACTTTTGTTAACAACATTCTGAGAATTCGAATAATGAATTGAATAATGACAAGACGAGTGACATCTGTCTAAAAAAGGCAGCGATTTAGAGCGACAATTTGATTATGTAAAATTTAGAGTGACAATTTTGATTATGCCAAAGAAATACTATATTCTTTGAGTTTACTAAAATTAATTTGAAAGTAAATACCCAACATGAATAATGAGCAAAACATTAAAAAAAAGATTTCAAGTTAACGTCTCCTTTTTGCTACCAGGGCTAATCTGGACGGTTTACTTTGGAACTTCGGAATCCGAACCGCGGTCCTCGGCCATATCGTGGTCAATGGCCTACCGACTTGGCAAGTGTCTAAATTGACTCTTAAGGATGATTCACGGTACACCTTGACGGGCCGGAGCCGTGCGACGGTGAAGGCACGGCCAAACATTGTCAAATGTTATTTATACTTATACATTCATGCTAAGCCGAGCACGGTCCGAGCTTCGCCGGAACGCGTCCGTGCCCCGTCCAAGAAATGTTGGTGTACATTTTTCCTCGGATCCGCTACATTCCGGCCCCGTTACGGCAAACATAAATGAGCCGCTGCGACTAAATACTTCGTTCGTCTACGGGCCTATAGCGACTGTTTTCTAGCAACTTTAGCGCGTACCACATTATTAACTAAAAAATGTACCACTTTGGTACAATTTTTAAAGCACAACAAAATACATCTGCAAATGACTTTAACCGGTTTGGTCGTTGTGAATTTCTTCATAAATTTCAACATAAAAAACTTCATGGAGAAAGACACAAATCGAGACGAAAAACATGAAATAGAAATTCAGAAAACCCAATTATAAGTATGTATAGGTTGAAGAAATGTAAGTAATTCTAATACTACACACGATACTTGGAAAACTTAAATTTTATTAAAAAAAAACGCAAATATAGAAGCATGTTAGAAACAGCAAATTTTTAAGTTTTTTCTTCGGGTTATTTAATATAGGCAACCCTATAGACATTACAACGTTTATAATACGTCGTTAATTAATGCGGATTGTCTCTGAATGGTATCGGTAAGCGCGTTTAATGCAATATCAACGACGATAATTATTAAATATCTATTCATTTTCGGTGCGCGTGGGAAATAATCATTGTACCGAATCATCCTGGATTTGAAAATGTAGTACCACTGTACCAAATAGAATTAAAAGTATCAAATTTGGTACAAATGTATCACTGCGGCTACACTGTTTTCTAGAATATAATCGGCACGGACATGATCCCCGTTGTCCACTCGGTGTTGCATATATTGAAGGCCCGGACGTGGCTCGGTGTCGACTTTACGGAACGTGCCCGGCTCGGGTACGGTCCGGTGTACCGTGAATCATCCTTTACTCACGAGATATCCGATCTCATCCGGCCTTGAACCGGCGTGAATGAGCAGTGTGTGTCAATAGATTTTACAATTTTGCCTTTTTTGGACAACAGCACGATACAGAGTTTCGAACCGGTCACCCGTCCATCCACTAGTATCGCCTTACGTCGCTTAACTTCGGTGTTCTAATGGGAACCGGTGTTTCAACGTAGCTGGGCCGTTGCCCCAAAACATTTAAACAAAAACAGACTACAGACCACACAAAATAAATTGTTGGTTAGTAGCAGTTAGTAGTAATCAGATATATACAGGGTGTCCCACTTAAGATGGATACAAGCCAATATCTTGATTGTTTGTTGAGCGATCTTTTTCATTTTTGGCAGGAGGCTGTATGGCTACAAGACGTACATTTTGCTCAGGGTAAGAAATGCGATACCTCATAGACGTACGTTTTAATGGGGTTTGATATTTTTCGAGTCAAGAGTAAACTACCCTTAAGACAGTATTTATTTCAAATCTGATAAATTGTATTGAATCCTCCTTACCTAACATACTTAAGTTCTAATTTTGATAAATATTGATACAGGGTGCGTCATTAAAATAAGACATTTTTATTTTTATTATTATTTTTTTAAGTACTTACTACGCCATTGGAGAAACAACAGGTTTATTATCAATAACCAATGATCAATTAATAATCGATTTAAGTTTTCAGATATCTTCCATAATAATTAAGATACAATACAAAAAAACTAAATATTTTCAGTTTATTTTGTTTACTTTAAAAAATTGTTTTTTAAGTTTATGAATAAAATGAGTTACAAAATAATTTAAAAACCCAGTTTTCAATGGAATCTGAAATATGATTTTTATTCGTTTTATTGAGGAATATTTAAAAAAATCCAAATAGTTAAAACAATCACTATTAACTTTGAAAAATATGCTCTAAACAAAGATTTATAAAACTATAACGAACTAAAAGTCAACATCTTCGATCAAACCACCATAAAAAAAAACGATTATTAATTGATAATTATTATTGATAATAAACCAGTTGTTTATCCAGTGGCGTCGTAAGTACTTAAAAAGATAATAATAAAAATGTCTTATTTTAATGACACACCCTGTATCAATATTTATCAAAATTAGAACTTAAGTATCTTAGGTAAGGAGGATTCAATATAATTTATCAGATTTGAAATAATTACTGTCCTAAGGGTAGTTTATTCTTGAATGGAAAAATATCGAACCCCATTAAAACGTACGTCTATGAGGTATCGCAATTCTTACCCTGTGCAAAATGTACGTCTTATAGTCATACAACCTCCTGCCAAAAATGAAAAAGATCGCTCAACAAACAACCAACATATTGGCTTGTATCCATCTTAAGTAGGGACACCCTGTAGATGTAGAGAATTATCGTTTTTTAATAAAAATTAAAAAAAAAAGCTATAAAATGATAAAGCTAGAATAGTGTACGGTTTTATATTAACTCTAATTTTTTGGAAGTTTATAAAAAGCATTTATAACAAAATATATATCCTTCAAATCATTCAATTTAATAGCTGGTAGTAAGAAATTTCACTTCAAATATGCGCACATGGTGCACACACAATTTGTTTTTTTTATTGTTCATATCGTCATCATTTTTATTTTTATTTTCAGTGAAACTTCCGTGGGGTCTAAATCTTATATTATGGCCTTTGATGCTGGTATTTGTAATAATAATATTCATATTTCTAATGGCATTTTGTACAGGCTCATATATAGAATTTAATATATTCCATCTCTTAAAATTGAAGTTTGGAAGTACGAACTCTTCTAGACATGAAAACACCCTAACGGGACCTACTGTTGAAAGGTTAATATCTGGTTTATCACATAGACCTCTCATTCAACAAGTTTCTACTGCAGAAGATTCCAATGAACCAAAAAGAAGAAAGGCTGAGAAAAAAGTAGGATCTATTAATGAGCCAAGTACATCAAGTCGAAAGAATAAGTGCCTTAATCAGAATAAGAATAAGACTAAAGTAGAATTATCTGACGTAAGAATAAGAGAAGAAATTACTGTATCTACTGAAACCTCTGATGTGCAAGTTGAAACGAGCAAAAAAAATGACCAAACACAGAAAAGAAAGAATAAAATAGAAATTGAAACAATAGATGATAATGAAGTTTTAAAAAAGAATAATTAGACTGATAATAGTTTTTCTTTAATGAGAGAAAATACTTGGTTATCTAGCCAAACTCTTCGATTATTTTTTAATAATTTTTGCAAATATTGTCAGCATTATTTTTATACAAATTTAAGGCTTTTTATACTTTTTTATGTTCATGTTATGTTTAAGTTCAATTAAGTTTTAACGTAGTAAAAAATAAATAGAGTTTTAAAGGATATTGCGAGAAGTTCGTATTCACTGCTAGAATAACAGTTTATAAAAAATCCAGTTATTTGCAACCAACTATTTGCATCTGATATTGCGTGTTGAATCGCTATGGTGCCACGAAAAATACATAGGATGGTTTATAGTCTGGTCTTACCTTGAACTTAACCTAAAATATCTGGCACGATTACTGATATATTTTGTTTGATTTCATTCCACAATGTTTAATAGGGAAAAGACTGGATTTTTTAATCGTGGAAACACTCCAGATGTCTTGAGGTGAGGTTGTGGATTTTTTTCCTTTTGCTTTTTTTGTCCTACTACTTTATTGGGAACATACAGGCTGGTCGAAATTGGTCTGTTTTAACAGAGAAACCCTATTTCCTGACTAGATAGAGCAAAACCGCCTGTTGATATTTGCACTGCCAACTGAGATATGGGGTCTTTTTGAATTTTTTACCATTTCGAAAATTGCCTATAACTTTTTTATTTCGCGGAATAATAAAATTCTGAATAAACGTTCTTAAGGCACTTTTTTAAGAACAATCCAGTGGCGTAGTCATTTTTTTCTATGCTTGCTCTTTTTGTTAGAAATAATAAAAAATGTAATTTTTTAAATGGAAATCATAGTTGGCTATGAACTTAAAAAAATGCTGGCATTTAATTCTTTCCAACGATATAAACTTATGGGTATTTATTTCCAAGATTGAGAGAAATATTAGGTTTTTTATCTTTATATCGAAGCGGGCCTTGATTTTCTGTTGACCTATTTGCATAATTATTTTTTTACAATTTTATATTGTAAATTATTATTTATATGCATAATTAAGACTTTTATAAAGGTAAATTCACATTCTATATTAGTATTAGTAATTACAACTGAAATCAATACAATAAACAAAGAACAAAACTAAGAAACGTATTTTTTGAGTGACGAATATAGTTTTCTAAAAAAAATCATTAAAGATGTTCAAACTGAGCACCTGCTTGTTAAATACATAATAAACATCTTTTACGCACAGAGTTACAGCGATTTATTAGGCCAACTGGTGTAATAAGTCCAAAAGCTTGCTTAGTAGCTTGCTTGGCTTCTGTAATTCTTCTGTCGTCCCAATGGTTTTTTCCTCCATAAAAAAGTCTAAAGAAGTTAAATCATAGGACCTTTTTTTTTCTTTTTTTAAAGAGGTTTAGGAATCTGTTAACAGACATCCAGGCTTTGGCCCATAAGGCGGTCTAAATCATAAGACCTAGCAGGGTAAGATATGGGGCCCCTTGTTCCAACCCAATTCTCTCTAAATTCTCCATTTAATAGTTCAGTTGTAACCATGGCGTTTTAATTGTAATTGGTAATACTAATATAGAATGTTGATTTACCTTTTCAAGTCTTTAATTATGCAGATAAATAATACTATAGAATATTAAATTGTGATAAAAAATAATTAGGCAACTAGGTCAACACAAAATCAAGACCCTCTTCGTTATAAAGATAAAAAACCTAATATTTCTCTCATTGTTAGAAATAGATACCCATAACTTTATATCGTTGGAAAGGGTTAAACGCCGGCATTTTTTTAAGTTCATAGCCAACTAGGATTTTCATTTAAAATATTATATTTTTTATTATTCCGGACAAAAAGAACAACTCTAGAGAAAAACTGACTACGCCACTGGATTGTGCATAAAAAAGTGGCTTAAAAACGTTTTGGGCAATTTTCCAAATGGTAAAAAATTCAAAAAGACCCCGTATCTCAGTTGGCAGTGAAAATATCAACAGGCGGTTTACGCCATTAAACGTGTCTCAGAAATCGAGCCCATGACATCTATGTCGGTTTTGCTCTATCTTGTCAGGAAATATGTTTTCTCTGTTAAAACAGACCAATTTCGACCACCCTATACAGGAGGAAACCGGTAGAAATTGGTGGATTAACATATTTTAGAGTAAAATAATTTTAAGTCATACGTTTATTTAACATTAAGTAGGAAGAAATACTTACACATTTTCGTATAATTTTTACATATTGAACTAAAGAACATTTTCAGTGTTAGTGATATTTTTTATATATAATATCAAGTAGACAAGCCACAATCAAAATTTTAGGATTATAATATTGTATTATTTTTCCATCTAATTATGAGTTATTTGCAAGCTTTAATTGAAGCACTTTTAAAGTTTGCCAACAACGTATCAATTTGAATGTCTGGAGCGCATGTCTCTTTTACAGTTTTTGTCAAGCAATCAGCAAAATCCGATGTACTCCTAAAAAGTAAATTTTATCGATAGAAATAATATACAGTGTTCGGCAATAGTGCGTCGGGCATTTGTAGCTCCTAGAATAAAAAGGATATGACTATAGTTCGATAATTTAAGACATATCAATAAATAAATAAAAAATATATATTTTTCAGCCTTTCTTAAAATAAATATTAAAAATTCGAGAACTGTTCTGAAATCAAAACTATCTTATGTATTTACTTTAGTCTGTACTTACTTTGCTATAAATATGGTAGTTGTAAATCATATAGGATGTTCAAAATTCTACGCCAAACTTTCTAAAATATTGTTAAAGTCAAGGTGTATTACTGGTTGCATAACTGCATTACTGCTACATGCAACCAGAAAGTAAAAGAAAATTACAGAATTCTTTAGAAAATTCCAGAAACCATCGCCAGGGGGTATATAAGGCCCGCGCTTTGACAGTTGGAGCAGTCTGAAGCATATACGTATTATTTACAAATATACTCAGCCTAATCTCCAAAAAGTGAAGCCCAAACAGTGAAAGAACAATATGGAATTCTGCATAAGTCTATTTCACCCGGATATTCATTTAACTGCGCATGCCTCACCTGAAGAAGTTTTTATTGGTCGATGTTTTTAAAGGGAAGTGTTCACCTAACCTTCAATTTTATTTATATTTTTATTATTTTTCCAAACCAAACCAAACCAAACACATTATCATGGAGTTGGAAAAATATCAAAAAATAGTTGGAAACAATAAACTAAACAAAATCACTCTTTTACGCGCACAAATAAAAAGTAATCCAAACAGAACTAAAACAACAATCAATCGGAGTTTGGCGCAATCGCAGTTCAATCCGTATCCGGGTGAAATAGACTTATGCAGTTTTAATATGGAGCTGGGTTATGTTGTCTTTTTCTTACGGCACAGAAATTGCACACGGGGTTAAATAGGGAACCCTGAGTATATTTGTAAATAATACGTATATGGTCTGAAGATAGTCTGAAGTCTGAAGTTTGATAATACCGCGAAATACCGTTAGAGTAATAGTAGTTGCATAAATTGTGTTGTAAATAGTATAAGTTGTGTGTACAGAGTGAGACAAATAAATTCGTTAAGTATTTTATCGTGAGTTTAAATAGTGGACCCACGGAATCCGTAACAATTGGTGTCGGAAGTGCGATTTAAGTGGATTTTGAAGATTTTACACCGGATTGGAGAATTTTATGGTTGGAACGAGAGAACAAGCGAAGAAAATGGAGGAAGTAAGCAAATTATTGGGCGATTTTATGGAGAATATGAGAAGAGGGAAAGCAGAAGAAAAAGAAGAGAAAATTACGCCGTCAAGAAGAACAGGACCGGCTTGACAAAATTTTTGAAGATTTGAAAATTCAACGACAACTAGAAAAACAAGAAGAACAAGAAAGACTACGTAAAGATAAGGAAGAGGAAAAATTACAACGACAACAAGAAAAACAAGAAGAACAGGACCGGCTTGAGAAAAATTTAGGCAATTTAGAAATCCGTCAGAAGAATGAATGGATGGAAATTTTAGAAGATATAGAGACGCACCGCCAGAAAGAAAGACAAGAAGATCAAAACCGTCTTAAGAAGAACTTTGAAGAACTAGAAAGAAGGCAAGAAATCCACCTTCAAGAAGCCGTAGAAGATCTGGAGGAACGCCTTCAGCAGAAAATGGAAAAATTAGAGATGGACCTAACCAAGACCAAGGTACAAGTAAGGACACCTGGCGTTCCTGGAACTGCGAACCTTAAGGCCCCGACCTACGATGGACAAACGACCTGGACGATGTACCACCGCCAGTTTGAAGGACAACGGATGGACCGACCAGGAGAAAGCAGCGGCACTTGTCATCGCGCTGCGTGGCCCTGCTCTGGAACTGCTGCAAACTATTCCTGCAGCCCAACAGCAGGAATACCAAACTTTGGTAGCTGCACTGGACAGAAGATATGGCGATCAACATCGACGTCAACTTTACCAGGCCCAGATCAAGACACGCCTGCAGAGGTCCGGAGAGAGTCTGCAGGAATTCGAAGCAGACTTACATCGGCTGGTACACCTGGCATATCCAGAAGCACCGGAAGGATTTAGGGAGGAACTCGCTGCTCAGTGCTTTATCAGCGGACTGAGGGACAACGAATTACAGAGGGCGCTGCAAATATCGCGATTTTCTACCAGCAGCGAAGTACTTGTCAGGGCGCTGGAAATAGAAGCTGCATTTAGCGCCATTCCTAAACTGAAGATAGGCTCGGTAACGGTTGAGGAACAGCCAAAGAGTTCTCACATACGTTTGGAGGAGATGTTTAATAAACTATGTGAGTTACTAGTGAACAAGAGAGTCAACAACACCCAGACAGAGAACTAGAGAAGATCCCAGGATATTAGGTGCTATATATGTGGAAGGAATGGCCATATCCAACGGGATTGTCGCATCCAAATGCCATTCCGTTCATCATTAAGAGAACATCGGCATATCGGAAGATCCCAGGACATAAGTTGCTATAGATGTGGCAGGAATAGCCACATCAAACGGGATTGCCGCGTTGAAATGCGATTCCGTTTACCCTTCAGAGAACATAGGCACCAGGAAATTAATACCAACGGGCGAGTATTGGCTGAAGAAAACAGAGACCCTAGGATGTTTTTCATTAGGAGTCTAGGAAAAACCGCTGTCAGTTTGGTGATCAACGGGAAGGTCAATGGTAGAAGAATTCGAATGACTGTGGACACAGGCGCTATGGTATCGTTGGTGAGGACTAACTCAGTGCAAGGATTGAAGATGATGCCTCTTAGAACAAGAGTGTATTTACGTACAGTTACGGGGGAAATTGCCGTTGTACGGGGAGAGGCTTTCATGGAACTGGAGTTAGGGAATTTGAAGTTTCGGCATAGCGTTTTAGTGGCAGACATTGAAGATGATTTTATCATGGGTATGGATGTGATCAGTCAACATGGTTTTTCGTTCGATCACCATAGAAACATCCTGAAAATCGGAAATGAGGAATTTTCTGTATCTAAAGAGAAGAGACCAGGAAATATGGAAGCAAGATCAGCGGAAATTGTGATGATACCTGGTGATGCCAAGAAGACTGTGTTCGGGAAAATGGAGAAAACCCCTGAGTGCCGTGTAGGACGGGTACAAATTATCGACAACGAGCCAGATCGACGACGAGCTACCTTGGGCAAGAAAATGAAACATCGCGAAAACACTATCAGAGTAAGGAATTTTAAACTAAGAACTGACGAACAATGGACGACGTTACAATTGAGGAAAGATCAAATGGAAGATCCAGACATCGGAGCAATACTACGGCTCAAGGAAGGTAACGGCGAGAGACCACCGTGCCAGTATATTGCGGACAGAGGGCTGGTTTCCAAAGCTCTCTGGGCTCAGTAGAATTCACTGGTGATTGAGAATGGATTGTTAAAGCGCACGTGGGAAAGTGCGGATGGCAGGACAGTAACAACTCAGTTACTGGTACCAAGAAAAAAAGTTACCCAGGTATTGGAAGAAATTGACGGTGGTAAAACTGGAGCCCATCTTGGGGTAAACAAGACCCTGAGCAAGCTGAGAGACCGTTTTTACTGGGTGGGTTATTGTGAAGATGTTAAGAAATGGTGTCAACGTTGTAAGATTTGCGCTGCTAGACAAGGACCAAGTACTCGATCTGGAGGAAAAATGGAACAAGATAACGTTGGACTGTCGTTCGAAAGAATCGTTAGGAAGGAAAGATTACTGGACGTTCATAAGGCCGTTAGAAGTAAGATTGAGCCAGCCAGTGACCGGATAAAAGCTTGTTACGACCTCAGAGCTAATTCTACGGGATTTCAACAGGACGATAGGGTTGTTTCATAGGTTGTTTCATGTTTCAAAATATTGTTCTGCAAAAAATTGCTGTCATAAATGTGGCGAGGAACACGAGATGAAAAACTGTAATAGTGACATTTTTAATTGCCCAAATTGCACAAAGATGCAACTAGCTGAGAGAAGTCATTCAGCAAGAGATATAGATTGCCCTGTTTATCAAAGGAAATTATTAAGATATAGAAATACTATTAATTACGAACCTTTAAACTAAAATCAGAGTCAAAACCAACATCAGTTATGCATGTCAGCATCGCGAAATACAACTTTTATAGGACAACACTAACACCTAGCAAACAAAATAACTTCGCAACTTCAATAAGAGAATATAAAACCAATGAAAATGAAACCGAAAAAAAATTAGCTTTATTCATCAAAATGTCCGATCCATTGGAAATTCTGTTGATCTAATTGAAGATTTTGAACATCAAAGTTGTAAATTCTTATGTATTAGTGAACATTGGAAAACTGATGACCAGCTATCAGATTTTACGATTTGTGATTTTAACTTAGCTGCTAAATATTGTCGTGAAGAAGGAGAACATGGTGGAGTGGCGGTATATGTGCATAAGGAGATAAACTGTAAACCTAGAAAAAAATTTACTAATCTATCGGTGAGTAAAGTTTTTGAATGTGCAGTGGCAGAGTGCTCAATTGGGAAAAAACAGATTATTGTTGCTGGCGTATATCATCCGCCTAATGCTAGTCTTAAAGTATTTTTCGAGAAAATGGACAAACTTTTATCATCGGTATTTATCGAAAATAAAATAGTGTTAATTGAGGTGACTTTAATATAGAAATGAAAGATGATAATGTCAATAAGTTCGACATGATCGCGTTACTAAGTTCTTTTAGGTTTGTTCATACTATCTCGGACTATACTAGAGTCACCTCTCAGACCAAAAGTTGTATCGATAACATTTTTGTAAATTTTAAAAATGATTTTGCAGTAGTTTTATACAGTAACATTTCAGATCACTCAGCTCTTCAGATCACTCAATTTCTTTTTCATTAAAAAATAAAACAAAGCCAATTCTTCTTCACACAGAAGATTTTTTAATGAAACTAATATACATATCTTTTTACAAAGCATTCATTATTACATGCATTACAAGTGAAACATGGGAAAATGTACTGTGTATTAGTAGGCCTAATGTAAATGAACAGTGGACGGTCTTTTCTTAATTCTTTTTTACACTTGTTCTATGAAGCATTCCCACTTAAATTAGTCAACAAAAAATATAAATCCAAACTGAATATACAAAAAGATAAAAACTTGACAGAATGTAAAGATAGATTGGACACATTGTTAGTTCTTAGTAAGAAAGATATTAAATATAGAGACCTATACAACTCCACAAAGAGAGAATATAATAATTTGTTAATCAAGGCTAAATCACAAGTATAAGAGAGTAGAATAAGGAACTCCGATAATAAAAGCAAATCCATGTGGTCTATATGCAATGAAATATCTAATAAAAAGGATAGTCCTGAATGCTTGATAGCTGGAAATCCAATCACTATAGCCGAAGAATATAATAATTATTTGATAGGTATAATACCAGATCTCTTACAGAACCTACCACAATCTGAATTTAATTTTGACATCCAAGCAAATGACAGGTCAATATACTTAATTACGATTTATCGAAAAAGACTCTAAAATAGTTGGTTGTGTAGCGTGCGGTAGATCTCGGCAAAAATTGAGTGAAATAATGGAACAACTTTTCGCTAGTAAGTGACTATATAATATACATACGTGTAGTAAACCGATCGTTTATGAAATTCACTTAAATTAACTAAATTATATATTTTTCTTGCATTTCAGCTTTTATTTATTACTTGTCAAAGATTAGATGTCAAAGAATTTAGATACGTCAATTTGACTTACCTGCTTCAGTAGCGTATCGAATGTTTGTGTTAATAAATACTTATTATAACTTATCTATTTTTATTAGAATTATATATTTTGATAACAATTTTAATAACTACCAACATTTATTCACAACGTAAAATAAAACAACAAATTATTGAGTCTACCCCACGTCTACCCTACATCATAGTTTTACATTTTTTAAATAAAATTAGAACGACACTGATAAACCGGAATTTAAGTCGGCCATATTTGAGGCCCATCGCGGTGTACCTAAGATTTTTGATATGCTCCTTCCTTAGTCTTCTTATTCAAAGATCCCAATCCACTCAAACTTTTTTGAGCCACCCTGTAGAAATTAAAACTCTTTCCTGAAATACAACCTAGTACATACCTACTTTAGGTTTGCACTTAACAAAATTCCCAAGTTTTTTATTCTAGGAACTACAGATTGTCGACGCACTATTGCCGGACTCTGTATATTATATTTTTTAAAAAATATATTGTTTAATGGATATCCGGGCACGAAGGTAACAAGGGCAACGTCATTTATAAGTTCAGACCATAATTTTATTAACTAAAGAATATCGACTCCAAACTGCACTCTGTGAAGCCACTGAAATGGGTATATAAATCTTCTGAAGGAAATTGCTTATGTCGCTCAGTTAGGCGTGCTCAGGCGTAGTGCGCAAGCGTGGATTTTGAATTATCGATCGGATAACTAGACCAATAAGAGACTAGACACTAGCATTAGCCATGCATCAGCCAGCGGTTCATTCGTACGGCTTCGTACAGCTTCGTTTGTATCGGTACAGCTATATTGAATTATCTACTAATTTGATGAATACTTACTGACATATTTCATTCTTCGTTGGTACCTTAAAGGTCGCAAAATCACTTAAAATAAATCCTTGCATACTCTTACAATGGGCTAATTTCTTCTCGGCATGTTCGTATTTTAGCCTCTGAAGGCAATAAATTATACCATTGTCTGGTGATACTAGAAAATAATTTTAAATAAGGAATAATAAATATTTACAACACATAAATGTCTAGAAACCGTTTACATTACATATTTCTATTGAAACACATCATAGACATGCATCGCTAATTTTTTACTTTACAACTGTGTAATAATACAGGGTGGCGTACCTCATTCGCCTCCGTAGATTATACGAAAACGAAAAGATGTAGAAACAAAATATTTTATGGGTATATGTGGGAAGGCAATGTGCATAATTTAAAATCATTTTGAAATGTACAGGGTGTGTCAGAACTAAAATCTATACCAAAGTTATATTTTTCTTTTATGGAACACCCGGTATTTTATTTCATTTTTGCATTCTTGGACATAAAATAAGATATTTATTATGAGAGTTTAATATGTCTAAAAGCTTTACTTTTTGAGATATTTAAAGATATTTAAATATGCATACTATAATAAAAAAGTTTGTCAACACCTTGTACAGGGTGAGTCAACGATAGAGTAAAGTCCATTATCTCATTTGTTTCAAGGTTTACAAAAAAATGTTTAATATAAAAGTTATAGGGATGGTTAAGATACACATTTTAAAATTATTATAGAGTATACAAGTTGCTTCAAAAAAGTGTGGCGGCTATAACATATGTTTTTTAAATGCAACACTATATTTTTTATTTTATTTTTAGATTCTGCGTAAAATTCCATAACTTTTTTATATATAATATTATATACCTAAAATTATTAGTTTTTGTAATATTTCAATTTATTTAAACAAATGTTAAATTGCAGTGTGGTAAAAAATTGTCAGAGGTGCCATTGTTTCTGAAGTTAGAGTACCAAAATTTGGTAGGAGAGTTTTATAGAGATGAAAAAAAAGATATATGTAAAGATATTTTAGTTAAATGATGGGTGTTCAAACAGGGTGTGAACACCCTGTGATAACAGGGTGTTCAAAATATATTTATGAATTTCAACTACTTAAAATTAAAAAATCTCAAATTTTTTAAATGGGACACCCTATATATTATCATTTTTTCTGATAGATTTGACAAAACTCTTCAACTTTTATTAAGTATGTCATATCCCTATTTTAATAGTTTGCAATTTATTCCCATTTTTTCTATTTTTACCCATATTTTTAATACAATTACCCTATAAAATCATAGTTGCCATGACAAAACAAAACTATATATTACTTACCTTTAACAAGTAGCTTCATAATTAGTTACAATTGCTGGTATTAGTTAAAGTTAATTAACTTTACTCAAATAAACTAAATCGCAGAAGTGAATTTCTTGGTGTATTTCTATATTATGAAAGATGACACTTGGGATTTTTTGTCGGGGCGAATAGCCACAGATTAGGGTAATATTAGATTTCCTAATTGCTAAAGACTACTGATATATGAATTTTCTTCGACATACAGTATAGTTTTTTTCTCGTAGTAATTCTGATTTATAATTCATTTGGTAAAGCCAATATTACTAGTGCCACGAAACCGCCCCATTACACACTGAAGATGTTTTCTGGATAATATACATCTATTCTTATAGTAGTTAGCAAAGTACTATATAATAAATAGTACTGAACCAAAAAATATGGTTTTCTAAGCTTGTCCGTGTCTATCATTCACATTGACTAATTCATTTCAAGAAAATCTGTTATCTCTACTATTTATACTTATTACAACAAATTAAACTAAAATTCAAATTTTGTTCTTAACTTGCTTAACAGACATGAAATTGTCATAATTATTACTTTTTGTCATGGCAACTATGATGTTATAGAGCAATTGTATTAAAAATATGGGTAAAAATAGAAAAAATAGGAATTAATCGCAAACTAATAAAAATAGGTATATGACATTCTTAACAAAAGTTGAAGAGTTTGGTAAAATCTATAAGAAAAAATGATAATATATAGGGTGTACCATTTAAAAAAATTGAAATTCCTTAATTTTAATTAGTTGAAATTCCTAAATATATTTTGATCACCCTGTAACATCTAACTAAAATATCTTTACATAGGTCTTTTTCTATATCTCTATAAAATTTTCCTACCAAATTTTAGTTGTCCAACTTCAGAATCAATGTCATCATTGACAATTTTTTAACCCACTGCAATCTAACATTTGTTTAAACAAATTTAAATATAACAAAAACTATTTTTAGGTATAACATTATATATAAAATAAAATTATATAAAGATTCTTGCCACTTAACTGCTAATATAGAAATTTAATTCTACGCTCTAACCGATACTTTCTGACAAGTCGGAATTAACTATCTCTGCGCTGGTGGTTGTCATTTTGTGGATCTCCCAAGCTCACCTGATGATGGAGTAGGGCTCCGAAACCGGTAGTGAGAGCAGGTTGATCGGCATTATGACAAACACAGCGTAGAATTAAATTTATATATTAGCAGTTAAGTGGCAAGAATCTTTATATAATTTTATTATATACCTCTACTGCAAGAAATTTGTTTTCTATTTTATTATATATAAAAAAGTAATGGAATTTTACGCAGAATCTAAAAATAAAATAAAAAATAGAATGTTGCATTTAAAAAAACTTATGTTATATTCGCCACACTTTTTTGAAGCACCCTGTATACTGTATAATAATTTTAAAATGTGTATCTTAACCATCACTATAACTTTTATATTTAATATTTTTTTGTAAACCTCGAAACAAATGAGATAATGGACTTTACTCTATCGTTGACTCACCCTATACATACATTACTTTTCGGAATTAATTCTTGTGCTGACTTTCAAGCCAAAGAAATAAACTTTACTAAAAAACTTGATTCCTTCCTTAAATGTATACAGGGGTATCAAAAATTGCTGGTCTATTTTAAATATTTATTTTACATAAAAGCTTTGTTATTTCAAATGTAACACTATGTATTTTTTTAAATAAGTCGAAGCAGATTTGAATGCTCTTTCAAACTATATTAGGGTTTCCTATACCAATCTGGTTCAGATTTTGAATTAAAAGCGATTTTTTAATAAAATTGTAATCAAGATGGCTGGTGTCGCCATGGCAATTTTCTAGTGACACTTAGTATCTATTTTCAAAATCGACATTAGTTTATGGACTTTATTTAAATTTATAACAGGTTATTTTTATGTAATTTACCTACAATAAGGTTAACAAGTATTTATTATTTTATCAAGGACAATGAAGCAGTATCTGCTAGCGGAAGGAATGGATATGTTACTAGTGATTTTATTTTGTGAGGTTAAAGATATCCAAATAGGAATTTTCTTTACAAGCGTTTCTTTGAAAAACTACTTTTTCTATTTCGCAGAGCTGATAGTGTGGTGTATGAAAAACCTATTCGGCAGAAACCTGGAAGCGAAGAAAATGAATTTGCCTTAATTGGTTCTTTTATAGAAAATCCAATATATCTACAAGTCATCGTATTATAAATCAAACTACTTCTTTATTTTTCTTGATAAAATAATAAATACTTACTTATTAAACTATTGTAGGTAAATTAAATAAAAGTAAACTGTTAGAAATTTAAATAAAGTCCATAAACTAATGTCGATTTTGAAAATAGCTAACTGTCACTAGCAAATTGCCATGGCGAACCAAATCTTGATTACCATTTTATTGAAAAATCGTTTTTTATTCAAGATCTGAGCCAGATAGGTATAGGAAACCCTAATATAGTTTGAAAGAGAATTTAAATCTGTGTCACATAGTGTTGTATTTGAAATAACGAAGTTTTAATGTAAAATAAATGTTTAAAATAGACCAGCAGTTTTGACCCTGTATACATTTAAGAAAACAATAAACATTTTTAGTAAAGTTTATTTCTCTGGCGTCAAAGTCAGCACAAGAATTAACTCTGAAAAGTAATGTACAAGGTGTTGACAAACTTTTTTATTATAGCATGCATATTTAAATCTTAATTTAAATATCTCACGCACACACAAAAACCAAAGCATTTAAACATATTAAACCCTTATATTAAATACCTTATTTTATGCCCAAGAATCCAAATATGAAATAAAATACCGGGTGTTCTATAAGAAAAAATGTAACTTTGGTATGGATCTTAGTTCTGACACACCCTGTACATTTGAAAATAATTTTAAATTATGCACCTCATTCGCCTCGGTTGATTGTACGAAAACGGAAAGATGTAGAAACATTTTTTTTGTGAGTATATGTAGAGACATATACTCACAAAAAAAATGTTTCTACATCTTTCCGTTGAGGCGAATGAGGTGCGCTACCCTGTATATACCTTACACCCAATTACCACAAATTACCTATAACAGATGCGAAAGAAAGCGACTGCTTCGGAAACCGCTCGGCAAACCCCACACGCCTATTGAGTGGTGTAAATACACCAGTCGTTTAGTCCGGAAACCTATGCTGTGTCGTATTCGCTTGCTGGAATGACATAGTGCGTGGTTATATGTTTCTTTTTAAAAACGGGTGTAGGATTTTTGTTGAACTTTTGAACTGTTATTTCTCAGTTTTGGTAATTTGTATATCTTATTTAAAATGGGATACAAATGTGTTTATTTATAAGGAAAAAAAAGATATTTATAGTATAAAAAATTAATTTATTTAACAAAATTTAATTAAAAATGTGACAAAATAGTACCTTTCTATTGGTTCTATCGGACTTTTTTCGACTATATAAATCTTTATTTGTAAACTTTAATACATCAAATATTTTCAATCTAATAAATCATTTAATGATGTAAATAAGAGGAAATTTCTCACATGGGTGGTCAAATTCTATAGTTTTCATTATATCAAACAGCCTCTGAGAAATGTTTTCAACTCAAAATGCCTTTAATTATGTTTGACTACATCAATTAAAAGGGTCTTCAAATACATCAATGTGATATTTGTCTAAAATTTGCAAAAGAATCCGAATCTCTGGATAACTCGAAATTATTTACCCATTTAAAAGCCTTTGATCATGAAAGTGGAAAAATTTGTTCATTTTATTTACTGGAAATGGAAAAATTATTTATATTAAATTTTGATGAGTTTTGCACTGAAGAAAACATTCAGAGGCTGTTTGATATAATGAAAACTATAGAATTTGACCACCCATGTGAGAAATTTCCTCTTATTTACATCATTAAATGATTTATTAGATTGAAAATATTTGATGTATTAAAGTTTACAAATAAAGATTTATATAGTCGAAAAAAGTCCGATAGAACCAATAGAAAGGTACTATTTTGTCACATTTTTAATTAAATTTTGTTAAATAAATTAATTTTTTATACTATAAATATCTTTTTTTTCTAATCTCCTACGAACTGATATAATATGACGAGCAATCTATTAAATTACTGTGAGATTATATGCCTCGATAACATATTGGTGCAGATTATTTTCACTCAAACAAATAATAACCCAAACTATACATTGATGCGGATTGTCTATGAACTCTTTCTGAAGGTCACAGAAACCTGAACGCGTAATTCGGTGTTCTTTCGCATCTGTTGTAGTTAATTTGTGCAATTACTAAAGAATACAAGGACATGTAACGCCCATGTACGGGCTGCAGCAGAATTTGTTACGTTAGACGCCATTGTGTTGGTTGTAACGAATGAGTCATCAGCTGGTCATCAGCGACAATTTTAGCGATTTGTAATAGTTTGTGTGTACTGAACTTTGTATAAACTTGGTGATTAGATGTTCAACCTTTCAAGTGTAAAAGCCACGCAGCGATGAGAAAGAGCCAGCAGTTACGTTTCATAGGTAAATAAATAGTCCACTCCACCGTTTTAGCGTTTTTTTTATTGAATCGGATAATTATTTTTCTGATATATGTACTTGATATGTGCTATAAGTCGATACTAGTTTTGTACCTTTTGTTAACATTTTAATACGTTTTTTTCGCAATTAATTAATATGATACCACCGCATACACCACAGGCGTAGTCAAAACATTTATCATAAATATAAATATCTCTTCAAGCGCTATATTAAGAAAAATCTGTGCCACGGCACTGTTTAGTGATATGGTAGCAATTTGGTTGCAGGTGTTATTTCTCCTTGTATTCTTTAGTCGTGAGTTTCATTATAATATTATCGTGGGCAGATTCTTTTTTTTTGTATTGGCATATTTATTACGTAGATGAAATACACATATTTGGGTTTTAGCCGGGTATTTTTGGGGCTGGCTAGTTATTTCGGAATATTCACGATATACAGGGTGTCACAAAATAGTGCATCTATTGTTATCGTGGGTAATTGTACAGGTAAAATTACCAAAACCAAACCAAAAACAAAAAGTTCTCATGAACATATGCATTAAACGGTTTACCAATGTTCTTAAAAATAAACAAAATATGTATATTATTTTTATTTAACCTTTCAAGGGCTGTAACTTCTTCAGGAAGCATTTATGGGATATGTTCATAGGAACTTTTGGTTTTATTTTTATCTCTAGAATCACCCACCAAAGATACACTATTTTTTATACCCTATATAGCGCTCGTTGCCCCCAAACATTACTACTTCTTACTTCTTAATGCATCTGCATGATTATCATATCCAAACTCAACAAGAGAGAGTACGGAATTAACAAAAAATGATGGATAATATTTCGCATCATCCGCTAGACAATTTTCCATCGCTTGAACAAGTTTGGAGGTACAGTTTCTTATAGCACCTAAAAATTCATTTTTAGGGGTAGAAAGAAACTTGTATTGTCCAAAGCAATTTTTAGTTTCGTTCAGAGAATACTAAAATTAAAATAGTTTATTGAGAAGCGACATCAACAAGAGAGAAGCCAGATATTTACCCATAAATCGCCAAGAGCATTATCTCCGCCATTTTTTGTACATCCAGTTTGAAGTTTTTCACTAATGGACGAAATGTCAACGATTTTTGAAAGTTGTTTTTCAATATCCAGTTTTATTATTGATCTACTGACACCTGCAAGAGTGATTTTGGTTGTAAGATGTTCATCATACTTACCTTAAGGGTATTTTAAAGCAAGTTTTTAATGTAAGAAGGGTTATGAGAAAAAAGAAAATAAAATACAGCCATTATAGTTAAGTCAAGATTTATGTATTGGCATAGTAAAGCATAATGCATATTACAATAAAATAATTTAGTCAATATATACCGTACTTCTTCTTCGCTTGATGTTTTTACAAGTGGTTTTTTTCACAAACTTGAAGAGGGCGTCTACGATATTGGCTGGAGTGGTATCCTTGCAATTGGTCTCCAGATCGGTTACTACACATTCCTGTATTTTTGCGAAATTACTAAAACAAATTGAGAGGTATAAACAAAAGGTATGAAAAAAGAGTTCTGTTTTTTTTGCAACTACAAAAAAATCTTCAAAATAAAAAGTTATTTGTTATAAACACCGATTCGTTGATCTAAAGGTACCGTTATGAGCTTGGTGCATTTCAGTTGATTTCAACAAATTCCGACCGCAGCGCTTCAACGGCAAAAATCAGAAATTATTCCTACCTAGGTCACGCCGCCGCACAGTACTTCGAACATATGGGCCTAGAGGATAAAAATGCAAAACTTCTTTTCTATTGTAGGCAATTTATTCAAACTGGGTTTATTTGACACAAATAATGAGTACTCTCATTGTACTAAATGATGATATTTTTAGTCCCACGTTTATGAATCTGATAATATGAAATGTGATGAATGAAATCTTATAAATAATAAACATGTTGAATCTAATGAAATAATAATTTATAGTATGAAAATGGTGTAAGTGTTAAATACATCCCTGTGGTAAAAAACCATTGAAATAATATTAGGATATGATTTCTACAATATCCTCACATATAAGATATTTCTGTACATCGATGTCTAATTTGTTACTTTTTCGCGTTGTTACTTTTCTCTTTGTTGATATGAGGGGCTCGGATGTTAATAATAACCTCTTTAATAGATCTGTATTTGAACTTATTCTAGAACACTTTCGGGTGTGAAACAATCGATATTTTCTTACTTCCTTGTGTCGTGCTTCCAGAGCATCCTCTGAGAGTTGGCCTATTGGTAACGAAAATGATTCAATTATTTCGCACCCGTGTTCAAGAACTTTGTGTACGCTACTTGGCATGTAATACCATCTGTATAGATCTAAATATACTTGTTTAGTTTCGCCCAGTAGTTCTTTAAAATTTTCAATTTTTATCGGTCGACCACTTGCCAGAACCCTAAGTATAATTGAAAACTTTACTATTAAATTTTTATCTATACCTAGAATTTCGGAACTTAATTCTTGGTTGTAAAAGAAACTTCTTGCCGTGTTCCCATCGTTACTTGACCCATACCCTGGCTTTGGTTTGTCTACAATCAGTCCCATTCTCGACTTGAATTCAGCCTGTATTTTCTTTTTGTTATTTTCAATAATTTCTTTATTTTCGGCACCTTTCACTTGCCACGATTTTATTGGTAAACGATAACCGATGTGAAGTAAGCATTCAAAAAATCGAATCCAACAATGGAGTGTAGACAAACCAAAGCGGTAGTTCTCTATTTGCGATGGCCGGCTTATATTTTCCAAATTCATATGCTTGGTGGTTGCCTGGCAAATGATGCATTTGGATGTCGCGTTTGTATCTGAGACGATGTTAGCTATACTACCATCCATCATAGTGAACATGGTATACACAACCGTACAAATTTGCCCATTGTCAAACTTAATATCAAATGGATTCAGATTATTAATTTTTTCCAATATGTTTTTTTCCTCGTCACGTATTAGCTCTTTATTTTCTTTTTTAAATATAAATTTTATAGGTCGGCAGTAAAGTGTGGATGATGGACTTGGATTGACCCACATAACATTTTCAGTCTCTACATCTTGTAGTCTTAAAGGCCCCAGAACCACTAAATAAAGAAATTCATCCGTGCAAGATGCATCGGCAAATGACTGCTTATATTGGCTATGCCCAGAAGAACCATCAAAGCCCCATTTGCAAACCAACATTGTTTTTTTTGTTTTCTTTGATGTCTATTATATTTATTATACTTTAAGCTGTTGCATTTAAAAGAGCTTGCAAATCCACTTCAGCTGAAATTTCAGTACTATAAATGTTAGACGGTAAAAGAGCATTTTGTGTTTGTCTTAATGTATACAGACTAGGAAAGGTATTTGTCCCTGTACTGTTTACAACGGACCTAAGTATATTATATTTTCTTTCAGACAAAGATAGGTCTAAGTAAAGAGCTAGTGCCTGATGAGGAGAAAGTGAAGTAGTGGGACATTGTGAACTAACTAATTTAGCTGCATATTTTATTTCACTAGTGGTTCTACCAGCAGTGATTTTTTTGGCACGTCTAATTTTTGTCTTTTTGGAACACTCTTCAAATGGCTTTAAAGGTCTTCCGCGAGCTCGACTTGTGCCAGCCCGCTCTAAGTTAGCACTATTGCTTGATTGACCATCAGATAAACATTGTGGCATTAAGATCTTACTTAGCAACCATGCTTTGTTTCGGTCCTCAAATCGCAGGCGGTTTCGAGACGACCCAGCCCATCTTCTGCTTATATTCAGGCAAAAGAGTCTGCTTGCAGTCTCCAAGTGGTGTCTCATTTGCCTGGAAGGTTCATCAGTATTTAATAACGAACACATTTTTTCAAATACAAACAATTTTGGGTTCTTGTTGTTGTGATCGAGCCAAGTATTAACAAGATCGGCATTAGTTATAAATTTTACTCCATCTGAAAAATATTATAAAATAAAGTTCGTCGCAAGCAGACGCAGGTGAACTATACAAAAATTAAAAGTATATGAATATGACAACAAAAATATTCAATAAATAGGATATGTTTTGATATGCTTTTTTTAAATGCCTTTTTGAAGTTTGAAAAAGTAAAATTTTTATACCCAATTAAGAATCATCTTAAAAATAAATAAAAAGTAAACAATCACGAACTTGTTTAGAAATAAATTTAAAGTACATACCTTGTTTAACAATATCCATAGTGGCTTTGATTTAAACACGTACCGTTTAACTCCATATACAGATCTCGTATTTATGAATGTTCTTTTCACTGATAAGATAATGATCGCAAAATTTATTTTTAGTGAAAATATTTGTAAACAAAAACGCTGTTTATAAAAAATAATATATAGGATGGTTAAACATGGCTATAACGTATAAAATTACATATTCAGATATCAGTAAATTTTAACTTGTTTTTTCCCATTTTTGTCCATGGGACGAAGCACTGTGCGCCGTCATGTTGATCGCATTAAAATAATATTGAAATCGTGGTTTTGTCATAATATTTAAGTATTTTAGTTTTTTGCTAGTGTATATAGTTATTGAGACTATAAAACACTCAGGTACGAGGTTTGTATGATGTAACGCTATTTCGGGTAGTAAAAAAATAGCGAAAAAGAATTCGAACTAGGCGTCGTGTTGTGTTGTGATAATTTCAAATGTTAATAAAATTGCCGAAAAAATGTTAACGCGTAAAGGAGAGCGTAATTAGGGCGTTGTTGGGTGCAATAACATTCAATAATTCAACTTTCCCGGATATCCAACTCTCCCGAAACGACATTTTATAGCTACATATTTTCACACACCGAATTGATCAAAAACAAAACTGGATTCAATCAATTCGACCAAACAAGTGAGTAAACAAAGTGCTCGTTACATAATCAAAAAATTAAAAAGACATATATTATGAGAGGATAAAATATAATTTGCAATATTAATGGTATACGTTTTTTAATCAACTAGTGATTAAATGTTTTAGGAACATCTTCTAAAATTATAATCATGTACCTTTAAAAAATTTCGTTATAGCCGAAATAGCCCCTATTATGCCCCACTAGGAAAACTGGTGATTAAAACTATGCTCGTTACCGTAGTTGAATTCATCTAAAAAGTTTTTTTTAACTGGAATAATAAATTATAATACAAGTTAGACCTTCTGAAGATATCAAAATATTTACTATTTTATTTTTATTTTTAGAATTTTCACAAATTATACTTTCTAACACTTTTAGAATAATTAAATAATAAATTTTTCGTACTCTCGCTATTTAAACCCGTGTATTTTGTAATCACCAGTTGTTTACGATATTCTCCGATTCTGGCAGCACCAGCGGAGAATCCACTAACCCTATACGGCGTGTAGAGTCACGCCTGAACCATCAACTGTTACATAATTTGATATTAGCTTAAAGAAATCTCTAAATATATTAATTTGGTAGAAAAATTACCGACGCATGTTAAGTTAGCACAAACACTTTAAAGAAAATGTATGAAACTATGTGGAATAATTGCTGTAAATTAGACGTAAATTTGCCGTGAAAACGAAAAACTTGCCGCTCTTCGCTAAGTATGTTAAATCGATAGTTGTACTAAGTTAATATTAAGTTGGCACAACCACCATTTGAATTCTGTGAAAGAACATAGTTGGGAATTTTGAAGTATAGCAGGAATTTGCCGTTTTTTGGCGTTCTTGGATATAACTAAAAAAATATATATCCTTCGATCATTCTCTATCCCCTGAATCAAAAAAAAGTTCCATATTTTGCGGACTTTCTCTGTGACACTGTATAAAGGCATAATACAGGGTGTCCCAGAAATAAGTGCAAGTATTTTAACTGGTAGTATATTTTGATCTCAGAAACACGCCTATGAGGTATTTTTTGCGAAAAAAATTTTGAAAATTTTGATTTTTTTTTAGTATATTAGTTAAAAACATAATTTCTTGATAATACATATAGCAACATAGGCAGTAGCTTAAATTTACATGAAAGAAAATCCAGAAAAGATCCAGTGGTTCTCAAAATTTTAGCAAAAAAACTTGTAAGGACACCCTGTAAAAAGCCTGTAGAAACCCTGTAAAAAGACACCCTGTATATACTTACTCGCATTTTTCCTTATCAATAGAAAGAGACGGTATGTGTGACGAGAATGTGGAAAGTGAGAAGCTACTGGTATCAATTTTCAATGTGGAATTGACACATTCTTGTACCTTCTCTGTCCTTGAATTTATACATTCGAGTCCGCCTTCAGCCACGAACACTACAAAAAGAAAAACAATTTTATAAAAGACGTAATGCACTGTAGGACCAAAAAATTATATAATTTGATAGCTAAAAAATATAATGCTATTTTCTATAAGAATTGGGGTCAAGACTAGAGGCGATTTATTAAAGTTAGTAGTATAGCTGGCGGTGTTCTGGGCAGATTGGTTAGAGACTCTGAAATTCAGAACAGGATTAGCAGCGCCTCAAGAGCATTCTGAAAATTAAAAGACAGGGTTTTCTACAACCATGACTTGAGCACAAAAACGAATAATAATAATCCCTGGGTGTCGTAACCTGATGTACCTGACCGTACCGCCGACACATGAACGCATTAAACAAGTTGCAACAGAGACACCTTAGACAACTCTTAAGAATCAAATGGTTCCACCATGTCTCAAACGTATCGGTCCTTGAAAAAGCTAACTGCGAGAGTATTGGAGTCATGGTTACAAAATCCCGCTTAAGATGGGCTGGCCACGTATGCAGGATGCAAGAAAACCGCCTACCGAAGTTTCTTCTTTACGGTGAACTTGTAGAGGGTAAGAGAAAACCGGGCGGACAACTCAAAAGATACAAGGATATTTTCCACGAAAACTTAAAGGGGATTAACATGCAGAATGAGCGGGAAGAAGCAGCATACAATAGAACGTAATGGAGAAGAATTGTAAACTCAGTTAACAGCGATAACCAAAAACTAATGAGGCAACAAAGCAATTAAATTTTTGAATGTCCGGAGTGCGGTAGAGAGATAAAATCACATGTCGGGCTTTTCAGTCCCAGAAAAGCTCATGAAAGAAAACGTCTTGCGTTACCAACTTCTGGTGCGTATCAAATACTGGTTAGCGAGTAATGACTGTATATGTATATGTATATTTAAAATACTATTTTAAGCGAAAATGTCAAAAGTTGTCATATGAGATGTCATTCTATTCAGAATGTCATTTTCTATCGAATAAACCAAAAGTAAAAAATACTGAAAGTACTATTTAAAAATCAACAGGGAGTGGATGGAAATAATTCGATACGTCAATAAATCCTGATTTATGTCATGTCATATAAACTATTTTTGTTTGAAAAAATAAAAAGCTATAGATTTAAAAAAAACTATAGTATTTTATATAAAAATGTATTATATTGGATTGACTTTACAAGACAACTTTTTTATTATTGACATTTTGAGAAAAATGCATTCTTCATAAAAGTTTTTGTTTGTTCTAAATTGGTTAATCCCATTTAAGCTTGTTTCATAGTTTCATGTAGCCGCGAATCGCGAATTGAGGAAAGCGATTCGCCAAAAAATATTCGTAAAATTTGGACCTATTTCATATAGTAGCGAATTTTTAGGGACATTTCATATTTGCTCCACTGAAAGTTACCAAAAAAAATCATAACCTGAGATAATTTAATTTGTTTTTTATTCGTGTTTACGATCTTTATTTTATGGCATACAATATGAGTTTACAATATATAGCATTTACAATTTATAGCATATAGCATATTTATAGCATACAATATGAGTTTAGATCGAACAGTCATACGAGACGGTCGTGCTTTCGTTTCGTTTGTGGACCTCCGGTATTGAACGTTTGTTTTGTTTTGTTTTGTTTGGATTTGTCGTGTGTTGTTATTCGGTCTTGACCCGACCCGGTTCAGTTCGCTAGTTTTCGCTGAACGTGCGTTTCTGCTTTATTTTATATAATTATTTTTATATAGATATTTTTTTAAACGTGACCTAGCTTCGTTGACATTGACACTGTTTTTATTATTGAACTATACTGTCTTGTTTAATTTAATATTTTCCGATTTTGCTGTTCCTTTACACTTCCAAATGGCAGATTTTAAGTGTGATTCGTGCCAAAAAACCATCTCGGAAAAGGAAAATATAGACTTCGTTGTAGTGGGGAGTGCCGCCGCAACTTTTGTATGACCTGTACTGGGCTGGACAAGACAACCACAAAAGTGATCCACCAGCAAAAGTTCAAAAATATTAGGTTTTTCTGCAATGTTTGTGATTCTCCCACGATGAAGTATCTCCATGACAAAGTTTCACAGCTTCAGAAATCACAGATCCCTCTAGAAACTGTTGAAGGTCTGGGAACCTGTTTAAAAAGGAACAACGACCTGCTTCCAGTCATAACTGAAATCTATGACATATTGAGTTATCATGACTCCAAATGGAAGTCTTTATACAAAAAAATGGATGATATTCACTGCCACCACTCCAAAATTTCGGAAAATGGTCAACAATCTTTATTTCATTCGATCAGTGAAATAAAACAAGAAATACTCAACCTATCATCCATTTTTATGGACTTTCAGGATGAGTCTGTTAGGGTCCAGGTTCATGACTCTTCAAAGGTAGATCTTTTGAAGGAAGTCAGTGAGCTGCGTAGGAGCGTAAATCAGATGGCAACCACAATAGAAAAGTTTGCTGCCCAAGGCAAGCAAAATAATAGGAGTAGCCCACCAGCAATAAAAAAGTCAACTTCGACTCAGACAGATTGCCAAGCCTCAGTGGGTGTCACTTCTTCTAAAGTCAGTACTCCCCCACCTCACAAACCCTCCATTAGAAAAGCCTGGCATTATGTCGTTGTGTCCAATATCCCATCTCCCTTTACGGCAAACCAACTGGCTCACTATATCAAGGATAAACTTGGAACTTCGGACTTTATTCGTTGCTTTCCTATGCTTAATAGTGAGGACAGTTCACTCTCAAAATTCAAAGTTGGAGTGCAGAATATAAGGCACCTAGAGCGGCTGCTTGATATAAGTATGTGGCCCCCAGGAATTGAAGTAGTCAATAGCAATGTCCAACCATCTTTGACTCCCTCGGAGGTATCGCCGCAAAAATCAAGATCTTCTGCCATGGGATTTCAACAGCCTAAGATTTCCACTTTGGAGAAACGAAGCCTTCCACAATCTTCCAATTTACCTACAGATCTAGCCAAGGAGGTCAAATACGTTAAAATTGGTTCAGACAGGGAGGCTATAGCTGCGAGTAAGTCCTTTGGGCAGCAGGAGGCGAAAAATATTATCAATAAGCATCCAAGGGAAGGTGAGGTGCTGAGTTTGGACCCAATGACTCCACCTATTGTGCGGTTATCGCGTGAATCGGACACGGCCAATGGACGTTATTTGTTGGCGAGACTAAGGGACCCTTCGATATTGAAAGCTGTCAGGCTATTCCTTGCGTACCTCCATGACCAACCCCCCAGTGCGTGTTTTGAGGGACACACCAACACCAGCATCAAGTTGGCGCTAGCATCGGAAGGTCTCCCATGCGACATGGACTCCCTGCGCAAGTTGTTTTATCGCTTCCACGACGCGTATGGCATTGGCGTGGCTGAGGTTGAGGCAGATCTCTCCGCCTTCAGGACCTTTTTCTCATCAGAGAAGCTATTTCACCTTCAGAAGTCTAGGGAAAGCCACAGCAAGTATTTTTCCAGTGGCTCTCCATCTAAAAATAAAAATTTTTAATTCATTTGACGCGAACAGAGGATCAAGCACCCTCTGATAAATCGGACGATAGCAAGCTAGGTATTTTTCTTATCAATGTTCAGTCCTTAAGACACAAAACAGATGAATTATTTCTTTTATTGGAACAGCTCAAATTTCCTGAAATCATTGCCATAACGGAACATTGGTTAAATACCGATGAGCCCGTGTTTGTGAAAAATTACACAACAATAGCTAGATTTAATAGAAGTAATTTATCTCATGGAGGTACTATGATAATGTCTACCAACAAAAACCTTACGGCAATAACAAAATTTGATCACTTATTAGCCGAGAAAATGTTTGAATTTTCTATCATCTACCACATTGCTTATGACCTCTATATTGTTTGTATTTATAGAACACCTGACGCAGATATGCATATGTTCTTTCAGAAATTACTGAGTTTGCTAGAGTCCCTGCCTGTGAATAGCAGGTTGATCTTGTGTGGTGACCTAATATTGACTTCTCCAGTGTGTGTGATGCTCGGGTATCTCTCCAGTCTATCTTCGAGACTTTTGGTGTAGTAATGCATGTTAATGCACCAACAAGAATCACTAGAACTTGTTCTAGTACTATAGACTATGTCGTGTCATCCTTTGATCCAGAATTGGTTGACTGTACTGTGTTGAACTCAGGCTTCTCTGATCATGAAGGAGTATTAACAAAATTTTCCATAAAATCCGAGAGTAGAAACACTTTTCGTAAATTAGGACGTATTTTTTCGGAAAAAAACTTTATAAATTTTAAGCAGCTTTGTCTAACAACAGATTGGCATGTCATCTCTGGTGATGTAGACACTGAAGTTTCCAGATTTACACAAACATTATCTGGTCTGGCATCCAAAGCCTTTCCTCTCAGGCCTGTCAAAATTAAACATCATAAACCCTGGACTATTAAGGGCCTACGTACATCTGCAAAAAACATGCGCTCTTTATCTCACCTAAAAAAATTCTCGGATAGTGTCTTCTTTCACGAGTACGTGAAACTTTACAGGAAAATTTACCATAAGACTATAAAAGCCGCCAAGGACATCTATTACAATAGGAGGTTGACTGAGTCCGGTAATATTGCCAAAGAAACATGGTCGATTGTGAATGACTTGAGGAGTAAGGTTTCTTCGTCCAACATAACCTCAACTTCACCTGAGGACCTAAACAATTACTTTGTAAATGTGGCGAAGAATATAGTGAATACTATCTCACCCTCCCTTGATCCTCTATCATTTCTCTCTGACTATAATGTTAATTTGCCCAGTTTCTTCCTTACGCCTGTGGGGTTGGCAGAGCTTCGCAATACATTAAATGATATTAAAAATAAATCTTCAGCAGGGACTGACGGACTTACTCTTAAAATCTTCTCTAGTATGCCGGAATGTACATTAAACCATCTTTCAGCCTTAATTAATATGTCATTTGAAGATGGTGCTTTTCCAAATTGCCTTAAGTCGGCGATAATTATTCCTTTGCATAAAGGAGGTGATAAAGAGCAAGCTTCCAACTATCGTCCAATTGCACTCCTTCCCACGTTATCGAAGATCATGGAGAGACTGGTTAAAAGAGGCTTGTATCATTTCTTCTAAAATACAAAATACTCACCCCCTTTCAGTTTGGGTTCTTGAGTAACAAATGTACAAATGACGCTATGTTTTCGCTGTTTAATAATGTATACTCCAGTCTGAACAACCGTCTCGTTACAGCAACAATTTTCTGTGATTTCTCCAAAGCTTTCGATTGTGTTAATCATAACATCCTAACTAACAAATTGCAGTACTATGGTATCAGGGGAACGCCTCTTGAATGGTTTAAGTCCTACCTTAACAACAGAAACCAGCGTGTGAGGGTTGATAAGACTGTGTCTTCTTGCAAGCCAATAGAATGCGGAGTACCTCAGGGCTCAGTGCTAGGTCCTATTTTGTTTCTGTTGTTTATCAACGATATTGCTAGTCTGGACATCAGTGGTAAAATCTGTCTCTTCGCGGATGATACTTGTTTCACATGGAGCAGCCCGGACACCACGGCACTTCATAGAACCATTTCCAGTGACTTAATCAACATAAAAACATGGTGCGATTCTAATTATCTGTGTCTCAACGTCTCTAAAACTAAAGTCTTATCATATAAAAGTACGTTGCTACCTTTTCAACTTGATAATACCACCATTGACGTCGTTGATTCTGTGAAATTTTTAGGCCTTGTTGTGGACAACTATTTAAAATGGGATTTGCAATCGATGCTTTAGCTAAAAAATTAAGTTCTGCCTGTTTCGCACTTAGATCAGTTGCTAATGTGCTTAATTTGTCAACATCTAGGACAGTCTATTATGCCCTTTATGAGTCGCATCTCCGATACGCACTTCCATTCTGGGGTGCGTGTTGTGCGACTCAATTTGAGCGTATCTTCAAATTACAAAAGAGAGCTGTGCGATATTCACTGAGGCTAACCAGTTGTGCTCACTGCCGGGACTTGTTTAGAAGATATAAAATATTAACTCTTCCTTCCCTATTCATACTCGAATCCGTCTGCCTAGTTCGCAAGCACGTATCGAGTATTTCTCTAGAGCCAGTTCATGGCTATCCAATTAGGAACGCAGAGCATAACATGTATCTGCCAACCCCTCACTCTGAGTTAGTAAAGAGTTCCCAATTGTACAATGCAAAAAAAAATGCACTATCATCTGCCATCTGAAATTAATTCCATTTCATCCTTTCCTGCATTTCGCAGAGCCTTGAGATCATACTTACTGGAGAAAGCCTTTTACGCGGTTAACGATTTTTTTATTAATATCTAGGGTTCTAAATTTAACACACATTCACTAAATTTAAGAAATGATTTTGTTTTCTATCCATTTAAATTTAGTATTGACATTATATACAGTTGTTTATTTACATGTATGTTTATATTTTATTTATATTTAATTAAATAAATTTTTGACAATGTACAATTTCTATAATTGTATAAAGTATTGTTTTAGTTTTGTATGTTTGCTGTTAGTTTTATATGTTTTTCTATTGTTAAGTGAAGTTTTGTATGTTTTTTATATTCTTTTTTTTAAGCTTTGTCAACAAAATTGTAAAATTTTTTTTATGACAATAAAGCAATTTCTTTCTTTCTTTCTTATTAATATCGATTACGATTGTGGGATTGGAACAGCAGGCGCAAAATTGCTATTTACTTATTGTTAAAACGTAGAAGAGAACGAGTTAGGTCATTTGGGACATCTGAAATATATAAATTTCGTAAGCAATAAGGTGCTTATCCCAATTTAATTCAAGAAATGAGGACAAAAAATTTATGAATTTTCACAGATTGTCTGTACAGGAGTTTGATAACTTCAGAAGGCAGTAACATCAGTGTGCACTAGTGTAGGTGTGTGGTTGTGTGAGTGTGCGTGTCTGCACTGGTGTACACTGGTGTATACGGTTGCGAGTTGTTGAGGGCTGAGCCGTTTAATCTTTTTCTTCTTTTATATATATATATATATATATATATATATATATATATATATAGAATACACCTTTTGATTTTTACCTATTTTGACTTCAACCATATTTTTATGTTAATTTTCTCTAAAACGATATGGAAATTTGGAAAAGTATAAACCGAATTAACCATTTTTGAACAAGCAACATTTTTTATGAAGGATACATTTTTTTCAAAATGTTCATAATACATCATAATACAAAAAGTTTTTCCCCTTGTAAAGTCAATCCGTGGACATACCGTATTTACTATTTTTAAAATATTTATAACTATTTGCCCGCATATTTTATTAAAAAAGATTACAGTGAACCTGTATTGTCGGCTTAGGAAGTTATGCAGTTTTTTTTCTTGAAATACTCTTACTTGCCAGTCTGTCACCATCTCTGAAACATGCGAAATCCAATATTTCGTCGATGATTCTAATTGCATTATCCAATGCTGACTTTTCGCTTTCTTCCAAGCATTCTTTGGATATGTTGACGGTCTTTAATATGCAGTCCTTTATTTCTGGACGTTTTTTGCAGTATTTTCCAAACACTTCATCCATAGATCCAGTTTTCTTGGCCTCGTCTAATTCGCTTTTCACTTGAATGGGATTTATTTTGCCTTCTAAACATGTTCTTGTTTCGTTAGCAGCTTGCTAAAATATTTATTATGAATAAATGATAACAATATACATATGTGTGACATAGAAATTGCAACATCGAGTAAGTGTAAATAAATTTGATTAATACTTTTTGAAGTAGTTTATATAAATATGAATAATCGATGACATTTTCAACAATGTCATCGATTATAATAATGTCAACAATATAAATATTATAACAATGTCAACAATAAACAAATTTATTGAAAGGAATTCTTAACAATTTAGTGAATTTGATTTTTGATTTAGTGAATTGAATACACTAAATTTAGTCAAATAAGTTTATTCAATTCTTTTCGGTCACTTCCTGTTTCACCGGAAATTACTACAACTTTGGATTTTTAAATGGCACCCTCGGTATTTTTTTATTTTACTCGATAGAAAATGACTCTCTGAATAGAATGACATATCATATGTCAACTTTTGACATTTTTGCTTAAAAAAATCGTATTTTATATCGGATTTTCCAATCTAGAGTGTCATAGTTGTGTTAAAAACACTATTTTTTATTCAAGGAGCCTTGGCAAAATATATTTGATCGTCTAATGTTTTTAGTGTCTTGTCCAGACCGGTTAAAAGATGCCCAAATCGTATTTTTAATCATATCTCAATTTGTTAAAATGGAATGAAGGTGGCTTACTCGTATATTTGGAAAAAGCATTTTTTATGAATAATTTGATACTACATTTTTTTTTATGAATAAGGATACAATATATTATTTCGAGTCAAATTTTCATTAACTGCATGTTGCAATTTCAAATAAACCATATTCGAAACTGTCAAAAGTTGACATAATATGATATGTCATTCTATTCAGAGTGTCATTTTCTATCGAATAAAGTAACAAAATACCGAGGGCGCCATTTAAAAATCAAAAGTTTTAGTCATTTCCGGTGAAATAGGAAGCGACCGATTTTAATCGAAATAATTGAATACGTCAATCAATCCAGATTTATGTCATATATACCAACATACCAAATCTTGTTCTGTAATCTGAAAAAATAAAAGTGATGGGGTGGGCCATTTTTGAGACGCACCCTGTAAACCCATAAAATATTTTGTTTTTACATCTTTCCGTTTTCGTATAATCAACCGAGGCGAATGCGAGGTACGCTACCCTGTATATAATATTCTGTAAAAATCTTAATACATATATTGAAATCTAACTCCGAAAAGGGGTGTAAGGGGCGAAGGTAAAAAGGTCAGAACACCAGCCCAAATGTCAACCTCACCTGCTAGAGTGGTGACCTAGGTCACCCGGTGCACCCTGCTAGATAACTAACGAGGCTCTGACGACCGAGTCACGGCGGTATAACCGTTCCATCGAGTACCAAGGAAATGCAGTACTCAGACCTGTTACCAAGACGTCCGGCAAGCGTGGTAACAATATTGCCAAAACCTCCCAAATCATGTTAACCGTAAAACAATCAAGGAAAATACCCCAGGTGGGTAGGAAAACAAATCCACAATCCCACACCGAGCATTCGGTCAGCCTCAAGGATTCTGGGGGAGGCAACAAGTTGACATGTAAAAACAGGAAAAACTCCCACTCTAAAACCACACTCCAAATCGTAACGTACAATGTACGAACCATGGCGAACAATGATAAATTAGCTGAACTGGAGGAAGAACTGGAAAAGATAAAATGGGATGTAGTGGGGTTATCAGAGGTCAGAAGACGCGGAGAACACTGTATAGATCTGAGATCTGGTAACACCCTATATTACAGAGGACCTGATGATGAAACATACGGCGGAATAGGATTCATGATCAACAGTAAATTGAAGGCACATATAGAAGCATTCAAGGCCATATCAGACAGAGTAGGATGCCTAACTCTAAAAATCAATGAGAAAACTAACATCAAACTCATTCAAGTATACGCGCCAACCTCTGCCAGCAATGAGGAAGACCTTGAAACCTTCTATGAGGACTTAGCTGAAGCGCTAGAAGACGAAAATACTAAAAACACAATCATTATGGGGGACTTCAATGCCAAGCTGGGACACAGAACAGAAGGAGAGAACAGACTAGGCAACTACGGATATGGCACAAGAAATGAGAGAGGTGATAGACTATATGAATTCCTGGAAAAAGCCAATCTATATGCCATGAACAGCTTCTACAAAAAAAGACCAAATAAGAAATGGACATGGATTTCACCAGACGGAATGACAAAGAACGAAATAGATTACCTCTTAACAACCAATAAATCGATGTTTGAGGACGTAACAGTAATAAACAGATGTACAACAGCAAGTGACCATAGGATGGTTAGAGCCAAAATCTGTATAAATGAAAGAAAAATGCGAAAACAACTGTTCAAAAAGAAAGCCCAAATAGATCCAAATAAACTGAGAAAACAGGGAAACGAATTCAGAAGAACACTTGAAGATAATATAAATTTAGAACAAATGGATGGACAAGATATAGACGAAACAAACGATAGAATAAGTAAGGAGCTCCTCAGAGCTGGATTGGAGGTCGCTAGCAGGACAAAAACTAGGGTAAATAAGTTAAGTCAGGAAACGAAACAACTGATGAATCAAAGGAGGCAACTCATGACGAATGGAAGGATGAATACGGGGGAATATAATGAACTAAATAAAATCATCAAAAAAGAAGTCAAAAAAGACCTAAAAGAACACAACGAAGCGTTAGCGGAGAAAATTATAGAGAGCAACAGGGGTCTAAAAAGCTTACAACCAACACTTGGAACCCAAAGAATGATATCTCTAAAATACCCAAATGGAAAAGAAGAGAGAGACAAAAAAAAGATCACCTCAATAGTAGAAGACTTCTACACTGACCTATATAGGTCTAAGAAAGATGCAGACACCCCTACAAGAGAAAAACTAAAACTGAAAATAGAAAATGTTGGATCCGAGGAACTGCCGGATATAGATGAATTCGAAATTGAACAAGCCATAAGAAACCTGAAGAATAATAAAGCACCAGGCCAAGATGAAGTATTAGCAGAAATGCTAAAGGAAGGAAAAGACATAGTGATACCGATATTAAAAAAGCTATTTAACGAATGTCTACATCTCGGACAAATACCAAGAGATTGGAATAACAGCCTGACAGTACTCTTATTCAAAAAAGGTGATAGAGGTGATATAAAAAACTACAGGCCAATATCCTTGCTTTCTCAAGTATATAAGCTTTTCATGAAAGTCATTAACAACAGACTAACATCAAAATTCGACAACTACCAGCCGGTGGAACAGGCAGGTTTCCGTAAAGGATACAGTACGTCAGACCACCTGCTGACTATGAAAGTATTGGTTGAGAAGGCAAACGAGTATCATCTTCCCATGTATTTTGCTTTCGTGGACTATGAAAAGGCCTTTGACAGTGTCGAATTATGGGCTGTAGAACAAGCAATGAACAACTGCCGAATTGATTCAAGATATAGAACCTTAATCCATAATATATACAAGAACGCAACAATGACAATACAAATAGGAGATACTACTAGACCCATCCAAGTTAAGAGAGGAGTACGTCAGGGAGACGTGATATCTCCAAAATTGTTTACCTTGGCAATGGAAGATGTTTTTAAAAAACTGGACTGGTCGGAATATGGCATTAATGTAAACGGCAAAAAACTAAATCACTTGAGATTTGCCGATGACGTCGTCCTAATTACTGACACTTTTGAGGGAATTCAGGCAATGGTAAACCAGCTGACAACCGCATCGGAAAATGTTGGCCTAAAGATAAATATACAAAAAACAAAAATGATGACAAATACCGAAAATCAAAACAACGTGACGATCAACGGATCCCCCCTGGAAACAGTTAAAGAATACATATACCTGGGACAGGTGATCAAGTTAGGAAAAGAAAACCAAACGGCCGAAATTACTAGGCGGAGCAAGTTGGCATGGGCTGGATTCGGAAAATTATCGTGGATACTCAAAAATCAGAAATTTCCCCAATATTTGAGAAGCAGAATTTTCAACCAATGCATATTGCCAATCCTTACATACGGCTGCCAAACATGGACATTTACAAAGGCAAATATAGAAAAACTGTCGAGGACCCAAAGAGCCATGGAAAGAATTATGTTAGGAGTTAAACTTAAGGATAAAAAAAGAAATAGCTGGATAAGAATGCGGACTAAAGTGGAGGATGTGACAGCCAGGGCGGCACGATTGAAATGGAGCTTTGCAGGACATACAGTTAGACAATCCGACAATAGATGGAACACGGTATTCAGCGATGGAGGCCATACTTAGGACAGCGAATGAGAGGACGCCCTCAAATGAGATGGTACGATGATTTCAAAAGAGTGGCAGGACTACATTGGACACGCACAGCACAGAACAGAGATCGGTGGCGAGAATTGGGAGAGGCCTATGTCCAAAGTTGGACGACAAACGGCTAATGATGATGATGATGAACTCCGAAAATATAGAGAATAGTAAAATGGAAAAGCGTAAATATTATTTCTTTATCGCTGTGTATAACGAACCCGTTTATCTGTAGAAAATATTTATTTTTATTTATAGTATCTTAAAATACATTCTATACTTTAGATAACTACTATCACTCGCGTGAACATTTATTTAGCATTATTTAATTGTTTGTATTCTCTTTTATTTACATCGCCTAGACAGTTAGAGAGTTATAGTCTAAGAGCTGGGCTACATAAAAAACCTTATCATCGTTACAAGGCTAATTTTTTGTGTGAAGTATCCTTTTGTGTAGCCATTATGAAATAGTCATGTCTGCCAGAGCGATCCCGGGGCTTAAAGCGGGGGCGGCCAATCGAAAAGGTGAAATTTTGACACTACAAATATTATAAGGTACACGTTTTATAATTGCGAAAATAGCTTTTATTTATTATTAAGAAACGTGTAAAACTCTTGAGAGACATTTTTCTGGTCGCTAAAATGCCGACAGACAACGTAAAAGAGGCATGGAATTTTAAAAATGATTAAAAGATGAAATTGGAATAATGAAAAAAATTATGGCATATTTGCATGCCGATTGGTGAAATGTCATATTTATTTATTTTAAAAGCCGTATAAAAAGGGCAGACAAAATCTGATCGTGGCTAAATCAGCTGCAGACAGTTATCAAAAGCGCGATATTACTCTAGCGCTTGCAGGGAACGCTCACCGCCTCATCCATTTAAGTACAGATAAATCATATATATACGATTATATTATAAATATATTTTTTTTTATTTCAATAACGATTTTTTGTCTGCCCTTTTGCATACGGCTTTTTAAATTAATTAACAATAAACATGACATTCCACCAATCGACATGCATGCGATGATTTTCTTTTCTCAAAATTCTATGCCTCTTTCGCGTTGTCTGCCGGCATTTTAGCCACCAGAAAAATGTTTGTCAAAAATTTTACACGTTACTTAATAATAAATAAAAGCTATTTGGCAATTATAACTCATGTATTGCGGCGACTTTTTAAAAGGTTAGGAAAAATTATAAAAAAAGATGGTAAAAATTAAAAAGAAAACCGGCAGCGTACGGCTGCTCTTCGTCTGGTGAACAATAGGTGTAGGTTCATTTAATTATTTTTTGCATATTGTTGGGCACCACTTAATTTAAGCCAAGTTAAGGTGATATTTAAAAAATTAAGAAAATTACCACAGGCTAAAGATGTTCAGTAATGATATATCTCAAATTAAAACAACAAAATTTAATAAAAACTATGTACATTTATTAATAATTAAATAACTCCAGTTTGAAAATGAATTAAAAGGTCATTTAAAAAAACAATAAATTAATATTATATTGATATAGCGAAACTTAAATTAAATATTACTAAATATAAATCATCAAACGTAATCGTTTGTTTAAGTTTCAAAAAAGAGGTTTCAATATAAGGTAAGTTTCAGTAGAAAGTTAAGAAAAAGGCAAAAAGATTCTAAAGCAAAACGTAAATGAGTACTTAGCCTTTGCTCTGAAGCTGTAGTCAATCAGTGTTGATTTGGTGTCGTACTGGGGCCCATATCCATTACGTAACTGCTTCAAACCATCAGAAAACTTGTAAATTTGCGGAAAAAGGGAAAACTCGTCAATTTCACACCAGCCTCCAACAGGGAACCTTCACGGAACCATTCATAAAAACCAAAAACTGCTCAAAACATCGGATCAAAAAAAACTACTGCTAAATCTTCTTAAAAAAACTCGTCCAAAAAGTTCTCAAAAAACTTCTCGTTTTCAAAACGAAAGTTGCTCCCAAAATCTACTCCAAAAAATTACTCCAAAAAACTCCCAAAATGTCAAATCTTCCCCTTAAGTTGGTAAGGGACACATCTATAATAAATGATTTTTTTCTCTAAGTATATGAAAGAAAGTACAAGAAAAAACTATAACTTACTCGCAGGGCTATTCTCCGCCACATACGATGTACCAAAAAAACTTTTCAAAGAAGACGAGAACCACCCTGGGACTTCACCAGTGGTTGAAATGGTGAAAGTGTCGAAAAATCCGAATAAAATGTTAAAATTCTGCCAGAGATTATCTTCTGACGACAAAAAGTAAATACGCACCAAACTGTGCTCGAAATAAGGAAACTTCAGGAAAGTTATTAATAACATTTAAAGAAAAATTTAAATAATAATATAAATGGCAACCCTGCGCCACCACATCGAACGGCATTCCCGGTACTACCAAAATTGCAGCGGTACCGACTAGGGATGGGCATTATTTGCTTAAATTCTGCTAGAGATGTAGCGCAAAAATAAGAAATTATTTTAGGCTGCTACAGTACCTTATAATATTTTTAGTATCAAAATTTCACCCTTTCGATTGGTCGCCCCCGCTTTAAGCCCAGGGATCGCGCTGGCAGACATGACTATTTCATAATGGCTACGCAAAAGGATACTTCACAAGAAAAATTGGCCATGTAACGATGATAAGTTTTTTTATGTAGCCAGCTCTCCGTCTATTAGTTCAGACTTTTGTTATGACTTACATATTTATACATGAATAAGTAAAGCTTATTCATTCAGAATCTCAAAATAAGTGGTTTCAATTAGCGTAGTAGTTCGTTCCTCTTATTTCAATGTAAGAATTTAATACGTGAGAATTATTGGTAGGTAGTAATTTTCAATTAGTAGAAAAAGTCAACAAACTAACTTTTTAGTCCAAGAAAATAGGCCTTTAAATACGGAGTTTTGGTAAAAACCTGAATTTTTGATATAGTAAGTTACTTTGAAAGATCTAAAAACGGAATGGTGAAAGATCTTTTTAAATTCACCCCCGAGAAGAGGTGAAAGGTGAAATAAATAAATAAAATGATTTTTTCGTAAGTTCGGAGAAACGGTAAGTAGTAAGTACTAGAAAAAAAAGTTCAAATAAAAGTTGTGGAGCGTTAAATTTTACATAGAAATGATCTCTATACTTTTTGCTTAGATGAAAATTAACCAAAATATGGTGGCTAGAAGCTAGGGGATGATAGTACAAATTTATTTTTTTACTTCACCCCTTCTAGGGGGTGAATGATTATTTAAATTCATCCCTTTTCGGGGATGAATTTAAAAAAAATCTTTCATAATTCGTTTTTAGATCTTTCAAAGTAACTTATATGAAATTCAAGTTTTTACCAAAACGTATTCGAAGGCCTATTTTCTAACTATTTTATTACTAATTAATTATACTTCAAAATTGGCGAGTAATATCATTTTGGTCTTTGATTATTATCATCCGTCAATAGAAATTGTGGTTAGAATTCAAAAGTTTATTGTTTTGTAAGCCAATTATTAGGCTTTCTCTATGGATGCAACTGATTACCGCAAGTTGTTTGTAGAATATTTTATTGATTTTAATCGTATTTTTTTAGATATTGTGAATGATTATAAAAATCTTAAATATAAAGTGTAATTGAAACCACTAATTTCTTCCCCTAATTTTGAGGTTCTGAATGAGGCTTAAAGCTTCATTCAGAACCTCGCAATTAGTGGTTTCAATTAGCGTAGAAGTTTGTTCCTTTAATTTTAATGTAAGCATTAAGAACGTCAAAATTAGTGGTAGACATTTTCAATTAGTAGAAAAAGTTATCAAACTTTTCACTTTTCCACTAATTATACTTCAAAGTTTGCGAAAAATGTCATTTAGGTTTTTGATTATCATTCTTCAAGAGAAATTATGGTTAGAAATCAAAAGTTGATTGTTTTATAAGCTAAATATTAGGCTTTCTCTATGGATACCGCTGACTACAGCAAGCTGTTCAATTAATCTAGGATATTCTATTAATTTTAATTGTATTTTTGGACATTGTGAATGATCGTAAACTAAAAAGAATAAAGTGTAATTGAAACCAATAATTTATGCCACTAATTGCGAGGTTCTGAATGAAGTTTTAGTATAATTAAGTAAAGTATTCTAAACGAAATTGATAACAAAAGACACTAAACACTAACCTTTATTCTTTCATAAGTGTCTGTACTACCCTTCTTCTCACATCTATCCTTAACAAAAGGAATATCGTCCAAACTATTTAGGTTTAGGTTTGTTGGTAATTCAATTTCTGCTAAGCATACTCCTGTATAAAATTGAAATATTTATTTTTGTATTACAAAAAAAGTATAATTTTAAACTAACCTGCGATTACTAGAAAAATCACTGCTTTTAACATCGTTGGACACTTAATTCCCACTACCAGTGTTGGTCTGCTAGAATGCTAGAGGTCAGATTAATAATCCAGAGAGCTTTCAATCATTAATTACATCGGGTTATGACCTTATTCCTATCTTATTGTTAGAAAACAAGATAAAGCACATGTATTTGTTTGTGCTGACCAGTGGCGTGACAAATAAACTATTTTTCCTATTCTTGCATTTATTCTTTGTCTTGAAATTTAATGAATAATAAATAACAAATAATTTTCAAAAAAGAGAAGGTAGGTACCTAGAATTTAGACAATTTTTAAATACGTATATAAATATGTATACCGGGTGGTGCATTGTCGTTGGAAACATAGGAAATCCCATACAAATTTTGAATTGCCCAGATATTGGCTCTCCTATTGTCTATGTCCTAAAGTCTAGGTTTGGTAAACACACATGTCAAATTTGAACAATTTTGGACTAGTTTATTTTGAGTAATTTGAGAAAAACTTATCTACTACGCCATAGGAATAATTAAATAATTTCTTTGTTAAGTATTAGTTTGTAGCAAAATTTCCGATACCGAACACGACTATAATAGGAAGCCTGTTTTTCTAGAACTCTTAATTGCAAACTAATCAATCCTTAGTAGGAAAATATTTATGTATGACGTCTTTCACTTTTCAATAAGTTTTATACTCGGTTTTATAACAACAAAAGAAATTAAGAAATAGTCAGTATCTATTAGTATTTGTTCAATTAGAAAATTTTATTTATTTTTGTTTATAAGACCAATAATTGTAGATACAGGTATAATAAGCTAATATTTTATAAAATAAAATGAAATAACAATTTAATTTAAAAGAAAACTATATATTATTTATAGGATATTGAAAAATGTTATAAACATCATACATGTAGTTTTTATTTTAATTTGGACAGTAAATCGGATTCAATATTGATTGGAAAAAATATTTTTATGCACAATAAGAAAATACAGGGTGGTGCTCATATGACGCGGAGGCTCCAAGGAGAACGACACTTTGTATTGAAGTTAAATTTTGTGAGCATATGTAGGTTAATTTAGATAATTTTTTAAAAATATAGATAGTTTTACAGGGTGTCTCTAAAAAAGTTACATATCAAAGTTGTGTTTTTTTGTAATGAAATACCCTATATATTAATTAATTTCGAATTCTAGAAGAAAAATAAAGGTGAGTTTTATTAAAGAAACATATGCCTAAAATGTAAGGGTTTTGAAATATTTGACATTTTGTGAAAATGAAGTATAAACTTTAAATTTAAATAACAACATTATATGTAGGGTTTCTTTTAGGCCTTAATTTTTTGCTTCTTGTACTTTGTTTACTTATATAAACCCTACCAAGCCTTCAGCTCCATCTACGGTAACGTAGATGAAGCAAGCATGTTAAATAACAGCTCCCTAAATTGTAATTTACCCTGTATAGCCTGATGTTTAGTTCAAATATCCATTTTACATGAAATCAATTATATTATATCCAAAAATTATACAGGGTGAGACAAAATTGATATTTAACATTGATCACCTTTAAAAGCAAGTTACTCTTTTATTTTAAGTGAAACACCCAGTATATTATTCCGATATTCAATGTCTCTTCAAAATACTCTTAAGGTTGCCACTCATCAAAGAAAGATATTTTCATTTTTATGATTTAATGTCAGTAGATCTTTATTACTTGATAAAATCTAGGTGGCTGTAATATGCCAGACGTTACTTCAACATAGCTGACAAATAACAGTTAAACAAAACAAAAATCTCAGAAATTTGCTGATATAAAAACTTATTCTATATCAGAGATAATTAATATGATTCTATTAACTGGTGACTGGCAGTGTGCATTCACCAATTAATAGAATGCTTAAATACTCCTGATTTATCTAGTCTGGAGGTTTTTTTGGGAATATGTTAAAGGATAGTGTTAACTATACCGGGTGCGTCTCAAAAGTGGCTACCCCCTATAACTTTTTTATTTTTTCAGATAAAAAAACGGGATGTGGTATGTTAGTATATGACATAAATTAGGACTGATTGACGTATTCAATTGTTTTTGGTCACTTCCTGTTTCACCGCAATGAACTACAACTTTTGATTTTTAAATAGCACTCTCGGTATTTTTTACTTTATTCGATAGAAAATGACATTCTGAATAGAATGACATATCATATGTCAACTTTTGCATTCTCGCTTAATAAATAATCCTATTTTAAAATTCAATCTAGACTGCCATGGCTATGTTAAAAACACTAATTCTTAAACAAGGAGTCTTGGAAAAATAGATTTGATCTTCTAGTGTTTTTAGTGTCTTGTTCTGGCCAGTTACAAAATACTCAAATCGTATTTTTAATCATATCTCAACTTTTTCAAATAGAATGAGGGTGGCTTATTAGCATATTTGGAAAAAGCATTTTATATGAATAATTTGATACCACACACTTGGTATTTTGAGTTAAATTTTCGTTACGAACCGCAAGTTATAATTTCAAAAAACCACATGTGAAAATGTCAAAAGTTGACATATCATATGTCATTCTATTCAGAGTGTTATAGTCTAAGAGCTAGCAACGTTTTTGAGAAAGTATTTTGAGACGTCTGGCTCTTAGATATATCTTTTACTATGCTCTCTGGAACAGCATGCGGGCCGTCTGGCTGCCGATACCCGTTGCGTTCACTACTGCGCATCGGAAGAAGATCCTATATATTTTTGATTAATTTAGTCCTATAAATTCTAGTATTGAATACAAATCGAACATGTCTCCATAGCGCAGTGCGTAGAGTTTCCGACCACGAACCAATGATTCAGAGTTCGAATCCGGGTCAGGGCAAAGACTTTTTTATTTTATTTTCGTTTATCTTCTGATAGTAAAGTATTAAATAAATCTGGTGATTCAAAAAAAAACAAATATTTAATACTTTACTATCAGAATATAAACAAAAATAAAATAAAAATCTTTGTCCTGAGCCGGATTCGAACTCTGAATCATCGGTTTGTGGTCGGAAACTCTACGTACTGTGCTATGGAGACATGTTCCATTTATATTCAATACTAGAATTTAAAGGACTAATAAACATATAGGATTTTCTTTCAATGCGCAGTAGGGAACGCAACGTTTACCGGCAGCCAGACGGGCCGCATGCTGTTCTAGAGAGCATAGTAAAAGATATATCAAAGAGCCAGACGTCTTAAAATACTTGTTTTTCCGACGTTGCTAGCTCTCGTAGTATTATTTTCTAACAAATAAAGTAAAAAAATACCGAGGGTGCCATTTAAAAATCAAAAGTTTTAGGCTGTATTCCGTTGCAAAATCAGGCGAACCAGACCGGTAAACTAAGGTAAAGAGCGATTCCTGAAAAACATCGGTTTGATACGGAACGGTTTGGTCCGGAACGGAAATGTCACATGTTGACGTTTTCTAAAAATTTCAATACCTTTATTATAAAATTAATCTTTTATGCATTGTTAACGTACCTATTCTCTAATGTACCCTTTTAATGTACACCAAAAATACTTTATAAATAAACTGTTAAACTCGTTAGACAGCTCTTATTCTTAATCTAAGGACAGTTTAAGTGAAGATTTGCAGGTCCAATATTAAAATAGATAATTAATAAATAAACAAATCTAATCAATATTTATATTTTTATAGCTTACAAAACATTCACAATTACTTGTTTTCTTGTTGTTCATGTGTTTAAACGTTCCTGACTTTAACAAACAATGGCTGCATGATAAGTTTAAATGGTCCTAAAAAGTTATTCTGTTTAGTTAATGAAATTTATTTACCTTTACTGCCTACCTCCATTGCTTTTGGATGTAAATACAAAATATTATTACAAATTTTAGAAATAAAATGAGAATTTCACTCGAACTTCCAATATTTGCTTGATTTCTGTCAGATAAATGACATTGATTGACAAACAAAACCAAAAAAAACGGCCTTCTCGCGCTGGTTAGTTTGGTGACAGTTATAACCGAATTTTTCAGGAACCGTGTTCCGCAATAAGAAAACTTTCAGGAAACCGATAGAAACGGAACATAAACCCATAACCAAGGTAAGCAACGGAATAAACCCTTAGTCATTTCAGGTGAAACAGGAAGTGATCGAAAACAATTAAATACGTCAATCAATCCCAATTTATGTCATACACTAACATATGAATTCTCGTTTTTTTAACTGAAAAAATAAAAAAGTTATAGGGGGTGAGCCACTTTTGAGACGTACCCGGTATAGGGTTAAAGGATAGTGATTACTATAGTGTTAGGATAGTGTAAACTATTTGTTACACGTCAAACACTATATTTTACGGGTAAAAACTATTTGTTAGACGTCAAAAACTATTTTTTAGGCGTAAAAAAATAATTTTTAATTTATTACTTTTTCGACATTTCAAACTACACTTTTTCAAATATATCCTTCAAATCCTTCAATTTAATAGCAGTTAGTAAGAAGTTTTACTTCAAATATGCGCACCTATAGTGTGACCAACGGATCTGTAGCTACGGGGTATCGGCAGGGGAACGCAGTTGTAAACAAAACACGCCCAATTTCATTCATAAAAAAGGCATGGGCGTACGGTGTTATATGAAAATAATGTGTATCATAAATATAATACTCAGATTAATAATTTTTTTCAAAAAACTTTATGCTGTTTGAATCGTTACTGTTGAGTTAGCAGATAAATACTAAAAGCTTTTATTAAAGCTCCCTTAAATATTTTGAATCATCTTATTATTGTGTTGTTAATATAATAGAAGAAATAATTACAGCTGGGGGTTGGAACCTTTGGTGTTACACAGCAAAATAAAACACTAAATCAGTACAATACACCAAAACACTTTTAATTTTACACTGGACGCACGTTTCGCTAACCATGTCTGCCATCAGCAGATGATCAAGACTGAGTCTTGAGGTATATTTATTTATATATCTGTACTAACTGTACAAATACATAATTTTAGATATAACTATTTCCAGCAAAAAAAAAATCTTGAAAATAGTTAACTTTGGAAGCGCAAACAAAACATAATTTTACTCACCAGTAGATCCAATATTGCCTATTACACCAGATATGGTATCGCTCCGCCAGCAGTTTTTAAAGGTTAGGTCATTGTCTACCCATATGTTTCATCCAAATAGATAATACTTGGCTATATTTTCGAATTTCGCGTATATATTTATATCTCTCTCTGCAATATAATGGGCCGCTCCATTAATATTTATCTGTTATTTTGACATTTACGCCAAAAACATTAATTTGATTTTAATAACCCCCTAAGCGTTTCCCTGCAAAAGGGAAATTCGATTCTTCCTGCAATTTTTGCAAAAGCTTTCTAATTGCGGGGACGAGTTTGAATTCGAGATAAAATTTATTTATCAAATTCCTGACCACTTCGAAAATGTCGAGCTTTTCGACAGCAGTCTCACGTGGTCGTTTCTTTCCAGAGCTGGATATCATTTTATCGGGGTTAGTTTTCAGCCTTTTTTTATCTTCTGTGTGATTTTTTTATAGCCGATACGCTAACTCCGGTATAAAAAAATATCCGCTCAAGTTTACGTTTAAGCGGCAACTTAAGCGAACTCTCTGTAGCTTCTTCATCGCAAACCTTATTATGAACACAAGGAAATAAACCAAATGAGATTTCATCCACGTTATTATTAACTTACCTATATAAATTAGCTATTATTTCTCTTGTCTGACTATGTAGCGTCTTACCCTTAACAAATTTATTCATTTTAAAATACAAATATACGATCAAGCTTGATATTAATAATTAAAAACTACGAACGAAAAACATTATAACAAGATAACAAAACAATAAAACACAACTTAACTATCAAATATACGAAAAATATAGGAATAAAGTTTAGGATAACCGGTATAAAATAATGAAATAAAGTAATAATGATCAAAAAAATGACACCGCCACTGGATATTTCAATAGTATTCAATATTCCTACTCTTTTCAGAAGAGACCCTGAAGTTGGGGATAAAGCAAGCGAATAGGAAAGGTGTAACCGCCATGGCAACCGCGTGGTAACAAATCCTGTGACGTACTCTCGCCAATCATGTTCGATGAATAGGCGGCCATGCGCGGCGATGCCGGTTTGCCAATGATATCGTTGAAAAATCTTCAACTTTCATAATAAGCAGATTATACAGAATGAAAGAAATAAGTTATTAAATAAAACATATCGAACAATATGAACTACGTTAAAATTCCTTAGTAATATACGTCAGAATGTATGCTAAACACATTATATATAATAAAAATATATTAAATTTATAGTTCATGTCTGGCAATTTTGCAATTTTATAGATTAACGTGGCAATGTCGATTTTTTTTTCTCGCGTTCCTTCCGTAGCTTCAGATCCGCTGGTCAAACTAGTAGTGCACATACAATTTTTTTATATAATTACAGTAAATAAAAGGCAGAAGTTTTCTCTTTCAAATACAAATATACATATATTTTAATATTTACAATATTTACAAATTTAAAAAAAAAACAGGATTTAAGGCATTGAACAGATCAATAAATTAATTAAATTTATACTAATATTCATAAGAACGGTTATTGGTTCAGTAGCTTAATGGTTTTTAAATCTTTTAAAATGTTAATCTTTAACTATAAATGTTTCATTTCGATGTACTCAAAGATTAAGGAGTTTCAGTTTTTTTTTCATGTCTTAAATTTCTTCCATTTCTCTCGTGATTATCTTGCATACTGAATACATAGTTGTAGGAAGATTTTTTCTGATATTAGATTTCAAAAGAATATTATGATACTTGTGCGTCGGTACCAGTGATCAATATGATTTATTCTAAATCCTTATTTTCTTATGTCAGTCAAAATATTTAAATATTATCTTATAATTACTATTTACTATAACCTAACGGTTGTAATACTAGATTTGGAACTAGACCTAAATAATTCGGTGGAATAATGGACAGCATCGTGGACACTCGGGAAAGATCTGAATCCAGCTTTGGAACAATATTCCGGATCGCATTTCGTCAGCATTTCATATACAGGTTCTAAAAAATATATAAATGAATGAAACAATATTCCTTTAGTATACAGGGTTTTGTAGCTAAACGATTAGATTTTTACAAATTGGAAGTTTTGGGTTCGTTGAAGGACTATTAGAGCAGTTAGAGCTACAATTTCATTTTTTTTACAAGATATAGAGTGTCCCAAATAAGTAAAAAATATTATAGTTTTATTTTTTAAATGGAACACCCTCTATATTATTCTATTTTTAGATTCTACAATTGAAATAATAAGGTTTACAAACCTTAATCAAATTTACCTTTATTTCTTATTATTTATTCTAATATTTTCTTTTTTTAGGTTTTTAAATCTTAACGATTTTTGAAATATTCAATTTTATGAAATTGCAGTAAAAATTTTAAGGCTTCATTTCTCCAAGGGTGTCAAAGTTTTTAATACTAAATATTTACTGAAGTTTAGTTATTGATCAGATATTGTGTTGGAATAATAAACAAAAATCACCTTATACAGAGTGTCTGAAAATTTATATTAAATAATTACTAACTTTAAACGGCTCTAACGGCTAACTAAAGTTTAATTTAAATGGAACATCCTGTATATTTTACGAGAATTAGATGCACAATTTAATTGTCTACCTATTAAATTATATTTTGCCATTTTTTACCTATCCCTTCAAGTTTTCGTAGAAAATGTACTTTTTTATAATTTAGATCTCATTTATCACTAGACCCATGAAATATTGATATTTTAGATTATTTTTAAATATGTAAGAAATTTTCAAAGAACACAGATATACTAATATTGTCGATTTAGTTCGCTTATTTAATTAAAAAAAAACTGTTTAAATATATCTTGTTAAAGATGACCAATTAATATGATCCCAGTATTCAAATTACATTAATTGACTGTTTACGTTGATCAATAATAATTGCTCCAAATATTAAAAAACTGAAGTTTGTATGTGTATTAGACAGTGTGTAAAGTAACACGTTATATATATTATATAACACTTATATTATTTTTACCACCGCTACATTTTGTACACATGTTGCTTTAAAAAAATCTGAAATGTCAATATTCCATGGGTATAGTGATAAATGAGGTCTAAATAATAAAAAAATGAATTTTCTACGAAAACTTGAAGAGATAGGTCAAAAATGGTCTAATACAATTTAATAGACAATTAAATTGTGCATCTTATTCACGTAAAATATACAGGGTGTTCCATTTAAACTAAACAAATTATTGCTGTTTAAAGCTAGTAATTATTTAATATAAATTTTTGGACACTGTGTATAAGGTAGTAAATTTTTTTATTACTGCTACACAATAACTGATCAATATACATATAATCTTCAGTAAATATTTATTATTAAAAACTTTCATGCCCTTGGAGAAATAAAGCCTTAAATTTTTTACTCAAAAACGGTAAGTGTGATAAACCTTAATCAAATTTATACCTTTATTTCAATCGCATAATCTAAAAATAGAATAATATACAGGGTATTGTATTTAAAAAATACAACCATAATATTTTTTTACTTATTTAGGACACTGCATTTTGTAAAATTATTTTTAAATTGTAGCTCTAATAGTCCTTCAACGAACCCAAAACTGACAATTTGTAAAAATCGAATCGTTTAGCTACAATACTCCGTATCGTATGTGGTGAACAACCCTGTATAAGATGAATTGAAAGGATGTGAATTGTTTCCATTTATCTTATGGCAAACAATAGTAATTTTTTATGTACATTATTTTTTAGTTACGTATTTTTAAATCTAAACTAGTCCTCTAAACTAAGTTTTTAACCACCTCTACACTACTCGCGAAGTAAGCCGAAGTAGGTCACAGTCGAATAATAGTGAAGAGTGCTATTGCGCGTTTCCTTGTATAACGAAAATATACACGATGAAGAAGAGATATAAGATGAAGAAGAAGATATTATGTCAGTGCTCAAACTCACCTTTGCAGCTTGCTATGTATACAGGGATATCAAGCTTGGTAAAACTTTCGATGGTAGATTTTAACATGGTTACACCTGAAGGATCGATGTAACTCACTGACGAAAAATCTAACACCAGGCATCTTAAATCTGTGTTTACTTTATTTTGTACTCTCTCCAGTTTATTTAGTGTTTTGGTTGGAGGTTTCGTTTCTTCAGCCTAGAAAATTATTATAAAAGAATGCATTAGTGCTTTAAGTAAATATGAATATAGCGCAAACTGTATACCGGGTGCGTCTCATAAGTGGCTCACCCCTATAACTTTTTTATTTTTTTCAGATAAAAAAACGAGATTTGGTATGTTAGTATGTGACATAAATTAGGATTGATTGACGTATTCAATTGTTTTTGGTCACTTCCCGTTTCACCGGAAATTACTACAATTTTTGATTTTTAAATGGCACCCTCGGTATTTTTTTACTTTATTTGATAGAAGGCGATGAGGAAGTTAAACTTAGAACGAATTATGCAAAGTCAACATTTTTTAAACTGAAAAACGTCCTATTAGTCTCCCGCTAACACTTAGACTACGGGTAGTAAAATGCTACATATGGCCGGCCTATCTTACTATACGGCGCAGAAACCTGGTCTCTCAAGGCTAGAACCCTGAACCGCATCGAGGCTTTCGAAATGTGGACTCTCCGGAAACTCTTACGTGTGCCATGGACCGCACATGCCACCAACGAAGAAGTTTTAAGAACTGCAGGCTATGAACGAGAAATGCTTAACATAGTTAAAGAAAGGAAAGTCTCATACCTCGGCCATATCCTTAGAGGAGACAAATATTACATTCCTAAGCTGATTCTACAAGGAAAAATAGAGGGACGGCGAGGCCCAGGAAGAAAACAACATTCCTGGCTAAGAAACATACGGGATTGGTGTAACATCAGCGACGCAGCGACCATATTTCGAAGAGCCGAAAACGGCAGTCTACACATTGTATGAAGAGTACAGACAATCGTTAAGCACAAGGCACAGGAAGAAGAAGATTTGATAGAAAATAACACTCTGAATAGAATGACATATCCTGTGTCAACTTTTGACATTTTTGCATATGGTTTATTTGAAATTATAACTTGCGGTTCGTAACAAAAATTTGACTCGAAATACAAAGTGTGTATCAAATTATTCGTAAAAAATGCTTTTTCCAAATATGCTAACGAGCCACTCTCGTTCCATTATAAATTTACATATAAAAAATTGGCGCCGGGAGGCACGTATAGCCGCCCATACTAAAATATGTTAATAAAAAGTTGGTAGGCAGTTTTTTTAGTTTCAAAGTAAAGGAATTTTTTAAACTTTTTTATCTGAAAAACTGCGACTTTGACTGATTTTGATGTTATTACAAATTTTGTTGCAAATATTATTCCTAATCTTAAATTGAAAACCGCCTTTCGCTAGCCAGGGGCGTAGATAGGTGTATGCTATGGGGGTGGTACTATGATTAAGTCGCAAAAAAAATCACCGTCGGAATTTTTTTGTCGAATTAAAACGACGGCGAAAATCTATATTTTAATTTTAAAAATTAAAATATAGATTTGTAAATAACATAAACAAAAATGAAACAACGACGTTTATTAGTTAATTTTCTATAAACTATAAATAAAAAACTCTAAACTATCAAAAAAAACTATAAAAACTATAAATAAAACTACAAAACAAAATCAAGTTTTCTAGTACGCTGTTTGGAAAACCTATCAATAACAGCATCAACATTTTTTTCAATATCTTTATGGATATTGATTAGAGTTAACCCCACTAATCTGTCCTGGCCAATAAGAACACTTTGTGTGCTTTTAATTAGGTCGAACATATTATAAACGATAAATCAACATAAGTAAAAGCATACAAAGTGTTCTTATATGTCGGATATTAATTTAAAAAATCCTTTCATAGTCAATGACTATTTCAATTCTCGTATCTCGTCAAGCGTCAGTGGGGGTACTGTCCCCCAGTACCCCCCCCCCCTTATCTACGCCCTTGTCGCTAGCTACTGTAATTTTGGAGTTACGATTTTTTAAAATTTTGAACCCCTTCCGATATCCCCTTACCAACCCCCCACCCCACCAAAAACTAATGGCCAGATTCTCGGGTGCCACAATATTTTTGTGCCAAATTTGGTTAAAATCGGTTTAGTGGTTTTTGAGTTATCGTGTTACAGACGGACAGACAGACAGACACCATGAAAATATTTTGTATTTAGGTCATTTATGAAAATAACAATAACTTATTTTGAGTGAAATTAAAATAACTTTTTTTTTGCCGATCTTAATAGCCTACCATACCTATTGGTATGGTCGGCTAAAAATTGAGATATGATTAAAAATACGATTTGAGCATTTTCTAACTGGTCAGGACAATGCACTAAAAACGTTAAACTATCAAATCTATTTTTCGAAGGTTCCTTGATTAAGAATTTGTTTTTAACATAGCCATGGCAGTCTAGATTGAATTTTGAAAAAAAAAATTATTAAGCGAGAATGTCAAAAGTTCACATATGATATGTCATTCTATTCAGAATGTCGTTTTCTATCGAATAAAGTAAAAAAAAATACCGAGGGTGCCATTTAAAAATCAAAAGTTGTTGTCATTTCCGGTGAAACAGAAAGTGATTGAAAACAATATTGAATACGTCAATAAATCCTAATTTATGTCATATATTTACATACCAACTCACGTTTTTTTAACTGAAAAAATAAAAAAGTTATAGAGGTTTATAGAGAACCACTTTTGAGACGCACCCGGAATATATATATATATATATATATATATACAGTACGTCTGTCCGTTCTGTAGCTACGGGGTATCCGTAAGAGGGGAAACGATATTCTCCCGATGTTTTTCGTAAAAAATTAGACGACGCGTCCCATCAATAAAAATTCGACAAATTTGCAAGTAGCCAATAAAATGAGTGGGTGGAGCGATTTGCGGTGACGTACTCGTCAAGTCGACGTATAAAATATATTGCTGTTTATTTAAATGTTTTTTGTCTGCATTCCTTTCATAGACACAGATCGAGCAGACGTACTGTAAATCTGTAAGAGTCCTGATTCATTCATCACTGACTCATCAACGCCCAGACCAAACCCTTAACTCTAGAAAGCTGAAATTTTGCACAGGAGTTCCTTTTATGATGTTTACGCGAGATAAGAAAGGATTTTTTAAAATTCATCCCCTAAGGGGGTAAAAAGGGGGGTGGAATATTACAATATTTTTTATTTAAAAAACGGTCAAGTTTCCGAAAAAACGCTTAAACACGTAAATTTTATTTTCTTTTTTTACATATTTTAAGATTTTTTTAAAAATGTATACAGGGTGTTTCGAAAAATCTGGTCATTGATTAATCACGATCCTGCTTAAAGCGGTTGACGTAACAAGCTGATTTTTGGAAAACGGCTTGACTTTAGGGTGTAGAGGTTCGATAAGAAGGGATTTTTCGAAACTCGAATTCTAAGGGGGTGAAACCACCCCTCAAATATTAGAATATTTTTTATTTAAAAACCGGTGAGTTTTTCGGAAAAACTCTTAAACCTGGTGACCGTCCATTTTTCATTCTTTGGAGACTTTGATGTACTTCTCTTTCGCTTATCATTAAAGTGCCTGCAAGGTTGTTCTCATCTTCTACTGCTTGGAATTCTGGTCGGTTTTCTGTCAGTAATTCTGCATAGTAGTTGCGCCATTTTTCTATATCCATTCTATTCAAGAGCTTGCCCGTTTGATTGGTTTTCTTCTCTGAGGACTTTTGAGAGTGCAGCATAATAAGAGTCTTTTTCCGCTTGGTTTGAATCATCTGTGGGCGCATAAGTACCTATTATTACGGTTTCCAATCCGAAAATGGTCAAGGTGACAGTTACTATTCTTTCGTTGACGGCGTTTTAATTCTTGTAAAATTTAGATAATTTTTTCGCAATCAGTACCGATACTCCAGCTTGAACTCGTTTTGCCTTATCTATCCCAGACCAGAAGTGAAGGAAGTTTTCGAGATGTTTACTTCCTCTCCCTTTCTTCTTCGTTTCAGAAAGAACAACTATATCTAGGTTGAACCTAGCCATCTCTGATGTAACTTCCGAGGTCTTGTTGACAAAGCTGTTGACATTCCAAGTTCCTATTCGCATAGTCCGTTTCGTAGCCAGTTGTCGTCGTAAAGAATATCTCTCCGAATTCCGAGGCGTGTTTAAGGTTCTTTGAGCAATTAAGTTTTTTTCCGAGTAACAGGTCGCTAGCCCGTTGCCTCAACCCCCAACCTGGAGGACCAGGGGCCTTTCTGTAGGGATGCCCATCTTTAGCCGAGAGAACCGGTTTTGAGGCGCCGGAATCTCGCCTTCGCCCTATTCCTGTTAGTTGCATAACACCCATCCATTGGATGCCATACATTACCAGTGGTCACGCGGCTCTCATGACATGTGCTTGACGTAAAAGCTTATTTTTGGCACGGATTTTTCGAAAGTCAAATTCCAACGAGATGAAACTACCTCTCAAATATTATCAAGTTCGACCCCAGGAACACGTCCATGAGTTTTTTTCCAAAAAAAAGATGTTGACAATCGTGCATTTTCTTTTAAATTTCTCTGTATATTTTTCGAAAACTTTTTAGAACTGCCTGTTCACCGCAAATTTTCCCACGGTTTCAATTCAATAAATTCTTAATCTCTGATATTACCATAGTTACACTTTTACTCTATGGTTACGGCACTAAAATGGATGCAAATACAGAAAAAATCCGGTGGCTCTCAAAATTTAAAAAAAAATCATTTTTTTTAATTTTCAAACTTAAATAACTCGGATATTTTGGACTTATTTAAAAAATGGTAAAGAGAAAATATGTTTCTTTTATCGAGATCTACCAGCCCTGAAAATATTTGCACTTATTTAAGACTCACCCTGTATAATAATATCGCCATAGTGTTTTTTCTAATGATGACATAAATGTGAGAAAATTTTATCCAGTTTGTATGTTAATGGAAATTCTTGCTTTGCTTTATCATCACCATTACAAATGATTAATTCGACACAAACGAAGTCGCGGGTACACCCTAGTCAGTATATAAAAGTACTTACCATTTCCAAATATTTTGCGAGCTTGGCACGGTAAACTACTTCTTTTTGTGGATTGATTCCAACCAATCGAATTAAATCATCTTTGAATATAGTTTTTGTAGCAAAGTTGATTCCACCAGAATAATGAAATATTTTTATACCGTCGATTTCTTTAGCCTAAAAAATAATATTATTTCTAGATATTGAAAAACTGAATACTTCAATCTCAATATGACAGAGTACAAATTATATGGGTATAAACATAGGTCCTGAAAAGTAATGTGTTTGCAATATTTAAACTCTTTTTACTTACCGATTTATATCGCTTAACGTCTAAATAAAAGTCTGTGTCTTTAACTTGACCAAGCAAGCAAGTATAAGGTCTGAAGCTCAAAATGAAAATCGATGCTAACGACAGGCAGATGCCGCAGAGTAGCCCGATATCGATACTGACAAAGGCAACGGTTAGAAACGTGCCCATCCATACCACGGCGTCCATTTTGCTCAGTTTCCAGAACTTCCAAAATTCGAGTACTTGACGAAGCATGCCTTTGAGTGCTACGACTATTACACTGGCTAGCACTGCCTAAAATAATAAAAAGGAGTTAATCATACAGTTAAGGATTTGTAGTCACAACAGAATAACAACACTATACCGTAATACACAAAAACAATTTATTTTAATATCTCTACACACATTTTGGAATCTATGGTTACATCACAGCCCGACTCTACTTAACAAGCCGTGAAGAACCATTTGGCAACGCCGCAACCGGCAAGAGATTCAGATCGGTTTTTAGAGAGCGCGAATGCGCGACGGGCCGTTTTACCAGCTATCGAGGCGCGTATTTTTAAATTAATTTAAGGTGTGCTCAAATTTGCCAAACCAATAATTTGAGCAAAATGAAACAAAAAAAAAATAAAATAATAAAACAAAAAAAAAATAAAAAATAAATTTGCCACATAAAACAATTTGCCAAACCAAACAAAAATTGCCACATTACTTGCCAAAAACAGTCCTGCTAAAAGAAGCAAAGAAATGCTTAAATTGCTCACTTCGATTTTGCATTTCTTTGGTTCTTTCAGTAGGACTTTTTCGGGGAACAGGGACTGTTTTTGACAAGTAATGTGGCAAATTTGGAAAGATACTAGGCACTGTATTTAATTTTAGGAGGTGCCTTTTGCATTGATCCATCTGGCAAACGATAATCCTCCTCCCTGATAATGTCACTTTCATCAAAATGCTTAGCACAAACCAGAGAATATTTTGAGGGTAACCATGCCTCTCTAGGAATATTCCTAAGCCATTGGGCTTTAAGGTTTTCATCCTTTGGAAAGGTAAAAACAGATACCGCTGGTTCTCCTGCATCAAGACAAGTTTTATAATTGGATTTGCACTCAAGCACACAACAAGGACTTGGCATGGTAATTTTTGATTACAACAACTAACTTTGGTAATTATTGGGAAAACTGGAAATCGTCCGATTTTCACCAAAATTGGTATACACACTATTTTGAGGTGGTAGATTACGAATCTGAACTTTTATCTTGGCGGTCCCTTTCCGTTTTTCAGAAAAACGGAAAATTATTTCAACATTGAATTTTTCTTTATTTCGGCCCTATAAAGTAATAATTTCATTATATTATTGTTTATCTAAAAGATACACTTGATTGGGGATAGAAAAATGTCCAAAACTTTACTGAAAAACACTTTTCTTAACAAAATAACAAAGAAAATTGAGACCAGATGGAAGTTTGACATTTCATATATCCGTCTTTCTCTCTCCTATGTAATGAGAGAGATAAATATATTCTAGACCTAATCTAGAAATCTGAAAATTTACAACGTTGCCATATCTTCTATTTTTTCGGGTGATTAAGGATTTTAAATAAATTACCTATTATGAGATCGACAATAATTAAATATACCTACCTATATCCACAAAGTTACGCGGAAGAGTTTTGATTGTATTGGTTTCAACTTCCATGCGTAGGGTGTTAATCTTTTGTTGTTATATTATATCAAAAAAGATTAACCCCCTCCGCAAAGAAGTTATATAAAGACTATTTATAACCACGAAGTTGCACTAAAGAGTTTTTATTGTATTGGTTTAACTTCTTTGCGGAGGACGTTAATCTTTTTTTGATATAATATAACAACAAAAGATTAACACCCTCCGCATGGAAGTTGCAACCAATGCAATCAAAACTCTTTCGTGCAACTTCGTGTAGTTCGTGTTTATAAATAGTAAGATCTCGTTGGTAAAATAGCAATTATGAGAAGGAGTCGTTCTTCTGGCGACCGCCTTTCGTAATCCCAGAATGAACGAAAAAAACACGCTAAATTTAGGTTTAGCATTGGCAACGTTGCTTTAAATGCCAGAAACACATAACCCAACATTTTCAGATTGTTTACAAATTTATTTTAGCAAATTTTCCTCTATCATGCATAAAATTGGTTAAAAAAGTAACAGAAAATAGCAATAACATCATTGTTTATTGAATACCTAACAAAATATATACCTTAAAAATATAAGAAATTAAGAAAAATTCGATGTTGAAATAATTTTCCGTTCTTCTGAAAAACGGTAAGAGACCGCCAAGAAAAAAGTTCAGATTCGTAATCTACGACCTCAAAATAGGGTGTATACCAATTTTGGTGAAAATCTGACGATTTACAGTTTTCCTAATAATTACCCTAACTTTCAATAAATTGATTTAAAAAGCACCACAAAATGTTCATTGGCCGAATTTGCAGCCATTCTTTGAATAAAGCACTTAACCTCGCTTATAACCCGGCGAATTTTTCACCCACGGATATTTGTTTTTACGCAATGTCTACGGAAAAAAATTATCCCGGTAACTTACAAATCTCACACAGTAAGACTTCTCACAACTTTAGTCTTTAACTAAACAATATTTTCTTTCAAAAAAGCGGATTTACTTACAAAAATATAACAGAGCAACAGGTCAATGAACGTAAATCATATGGCTAAACGTGTATCGATCGATTTGAAACCAGGGTTGCCAGATTTCTTTGTTCACGGCCTTGTTAAGTAGAGTCGGGCTGTGGTTGTACCATGTATGATAATGGAATGGAAAATAAATTATTGTTCATAAATTGAGCATTGAGGCATTTGAGGTGAATGATACGGTAAATTACGTTTACCCTTTCTTGAAAAACTTAACCCGAAATCTAAAAAGGACATTCAAGAATGTTGATACACCAATTATTTTTAAAAGTAATGTTTATCCAGACTTTTTTCAAAAATTCATTTTCGAATGAACTATTGCGACTATGGACGAATTAACTTATCGCCGTGGGCGGAACCCCTATTTGCGGTGACTTTTTGATTGACACCCTGTTAAAAGTGTTCCCCTATTGATAAATATGTATACGTAAAAATTATGTTTTGATTAAAAATATGAAAAGCGTAATCCTCCAGCCGGATATTGTACTATAGGTATTAATAAGTCATGGATATAATGATGTACATGTACAATTCGTCGTAGATTTTATTTAAAAGATATTTTATGAATAATTTGACAAAGTTAATATGGGTGATTTAAAAAATCTTTTATAACAGATCTTTGACAAAGCAATTTGATAGTGTAATAGTAGCCTTAAATCATTATAATTAAAAATGTACCTACCTTTGGCAACTGTTCAAAGAACGGTCCAATCCACAGCAATACCACTAACAGCAGTAAACATGATACTACAGATGCCAGCTGTGTAACACCTCCTACAACTTGCTGAATCAGAGATCTTGATAAAGAAGTGCAAACAGGCATGCACGAGAAGAACGAACCAAAGAAGTTACTTAAACTCTAAAAAATAAATTGATGAATATTTTGTTAAGCATATAAATTATAAACTTTTACCATAGCGAAGGCTTCTTGATTGGCATCTACTTCGTAGTCTAGTTTCTGAGCAAAAATCAAAGCCATGGATAAAGTAATAGTGTAAGATACTATGGCGATAGTAATACCATCAACAATCACATCTGAGAGTAATGCGAATGGTGGGGGTGCAGGGGATGGAAGCCTAGATAAAAATTATAATATAATATTAACTGACGGGAACTAATTAGTTGTTTAAATTGCGATATGTTTAGAATATTGCAAATTGGTAATAAATGTACTTAGAGACATTACCTACTTCTTAATTATTTTAACATAATATACCGGGTGCGTCTCAAAAGTGGCACACCCCCTATAACTTTTTTATTTTTTCAGATAAAAAAAACGAGATTGGTATGTTAGTATATGACGTAAATTGGGATTGCTTGACGTATTCAATTGTTTTTAGTCACTTCCTCTTTCACCGGAAATGACTACAACTTTTGATTTTTAAATAGCACCCTCGGTATTTTTTACTTTATTCGATAGAAAATGACACTCTGAATTGAATGACATATCATATGTCAACTTTTGACATTTTCGCTTTAAAAAATCGTATTTTAAATTTCAATCTAGAATGCCATGGTTGTGTTAAAACACAAATTGTTATTCAAGGAGCATTGGAAAAATAGATTTGACCGTCTAATAGTTTTCGTGTCTTGTCCTGACCGGTTGAAAGATGCACAAATTGTATTTTAAATCATATCTCATTTTTTTCAAATGGAACGAGGGTGGCTCATTAGCATATTTGGAAAAAGCATTTTTTTACGAATAATTTAGTACCATACACTTGGTATTTCGAGTCAAATTATTGTTATAAACCGCATCTTACAATTTCAAATAAACCATATGAGAAAATGTCAAAAGTTGACATATGATATGTCATTCTATTCAGAGTGCCATTTTCTATCGAATAAAGTTAAAAAACGAGGGTGCCGTTTAAAAATGAAAAGTTTTTCCGGTAAAACAGGAAGTGACTAAAAACAATTGAATACGTCAATCAATCCTAATTTATGTCATATACTAACATACTAAATCTCGTTATTTATCTGAAAAAAGTTATAGGGGTGAGCCACTTTTGAGACGCACCCCGTATAGTATTAAAAGATCTCCAACATTTGTAGATTTAATTTATAATTTTATAACATCGTTCATCAAACAATAATGCCAAACGCTACGAAAAACATATGAGGATGTCATCTAAGGAACATCTAAGAACACGAAATACGAAATAGTCTAAAGAAAGAACATAATATTTTTTTATGACAATTGGAGCCAAGTCGAAACTTAGAAGCCACTCTTTGCGTTCATACTAATATAATTTGTATGCTGAGTAAATGACTACTGGCCTTAACTGATTATCGTACCATATGCCAACATGTTTGCCAAAGCACATTTCGTGTAATATGATTTGCTAACAACGTGTGATAGAATATATGATCTATTTTTGAAATAGCACTTAGTTAATAATAGTTAGTTGGTTCTAGAATAGTAATTAGTATTAAGAAATATTTTAATAAAATTAGATTATCTTTGTCTGATATGTCATTCATACATAAAGTATTTTTAATAATGCTCCATTAGATTTTAGATTTTGTAACAAATTTCCGGTATTTATCAAAGTCGATTAAACCACATTAAACTATGAAAGTGCTTACCCTACTGCTATATATCCCACTACGTTGACACCATACTGTTCGGAGAGATTGCAATACTTCGAAACTAGGGTTCCAACTACAACTGCTACCAGTTCCATTGGAAACGGAAATGGCGATCTTTTGGCAATTATAGGCTGAAAAAATAGGCTTTTACTTAAGCAAATACTTATCGATTAAGACTCTAGTATGTAGTTAAACATAATTTTAAATATTTATTAATTATTAAATTTTAAACATTCAAAAATTCAAAATAATACCTAATCTAATGCTTGAAGGCATAATGGCATTCATAAAAATAGGACATAGAAGAAGTAAGACAATAAAAATACTGTAATATTATTGTGTAAAAACTCAGTTCTTTTAATTTTTAGTGTTTTATTTCAGAGTAATATTAACGTAGAGTGAATATACCGGGTGGGTCTCAAAAGTGGTTCACCCCTATAACTTTTTGATTTTTTGACATAAAAAATCGAGATTTGGTATGTTTGTATATGACATAAATTAGGATTGCTTGACGTATTCAATTGTTTTTGGTCAATTCCTATTTTACCGCAAATGACTACCTCTTTTGATTTTTAAATGACACCATCAGTATATTTTTACTTTCTTCTATAGAAAATGACACTCTGGATAGAATGGCATATCATATGTCAACTTTTGACATTTTCTCATATGGTTTGTTCAAAATTGTAATAATTATGGGGTTCATAACCAAATTATTTGTAAAAAAATGCTTTCTCTAAATATGCTAATGAGCCACCCATTAGAATATTTAGAAAAAGTTGTTCCATTAGAAAAAATTGAGAATATAGTTGTTCCATTTGAAAAAATTGAGATATTATTAAAAGTACGATTTGGGCATATGTTAACCGACCACGGAAAGACACGAAAAACATCAGACGATCATATCTGTTTTTTCAAGGCTCTTTGATTAAAATTTAGTGTTTTTAACACAGCCATGATTGACCACTCTAGATAGAAATTTAAAATACGATTTTTAAACGAAAATGTCAAAAGTTGATATATGATATGCCATTCTATCCAGAATATTATTTTCTATCGAATAAAGTAAAAATATAGGGGGTGTCCGAGGGTGCCATTTAAAAAATCAAAAGTTGTAGTAATTTATAGTGAAACAAGAAGTACAAAAACAATTAAATACGCGAATCAATCCTAATTTATGTCATATACTAACACACCAAATCTCGTTTTATATCTAAAAAAATTAAAAAGTTATGGGGTTATGGTGAGCCACTTTTGAGATGCACCCGGTATAAATGTGTATAGACCTTCCGTTATAACCTTCGATAAAGCTACTACAAAAAAGACAAGACTTGGCAAGCTCTAGCTATATAGAATGGTCTTGTCGAGATTAGACTATGCTCTAAAGTATGATAATAAGATATAATAACATCAGTCTACCGGGTGACAACAATTGTTGCGCATTCCATCGTTTTATTGCTTTTTATTAAATATTTTTTTTAAATTATTAAAAAATATTTGTACATTAAAATATAATTCATCAAAGCTCATAATATTTTCCATTAAAAATATTTTAAAATCACTTTACAAACAAAAAATGTTAACACCCGTATATTTTTCCATATTTGTATAGAGCTTAAAATTCTCTTTTAACAATATATCAGAAGTTCGTATGTACAAATCAAATTTCATATGACAGAATTTTGAAAACAATCAAAAAAATAAATTTGTTTTTGATTAAAAAATAATAAATTATGAACGTTTTTGTCTAAAGTGTCAAAATTAATCGCAATTTAAAATTTCGTCAAAATTGCGGTAATAAAAATCATGTAAAATACACTCACCGGCACAAAAAACAGACAGCTTAAAATTTTGATGTCTTTTAAAGTTTAATATATTTTGTTCTGGTGGACCGATTTTGATGATTTTTAAGCAGTTTGTTGTTGTTTACGTCTTTTTTCGATAGTTTATTTTTTATTCATCTCAATAACTTTATTTTTATTGAAGATATTCGCTTTTGAATAAGGCAGTGACGATTTATAGCAATTTTATCATTGATTTTGGGTCCCACCATCAACACAATTATAAAATAGTGTTTATTCTTTTTGTGATGTCACTTAAACATCATATTCTTCTTTTTGCGGTGCCGTGCCTGTTTACAGGCGTTGGCGATCTTCATGACTATATCGTGGAAGAGTTCTCTATCTTCTGCTGCATGAAACAGCCTCTCCACCCCCAGACCGGTCCAGTTCCGTATATTTCTGAGCCATGACAGTTTCTTTCGACCTACCCATCTTCTACCTGCGAATTTTTCTTGAATAATCAAACGAGGAATATAATACCTCTACCTCTACCTAAAATTTGGTGCCACGCATTATGTGTCCGAAGTAGCCAACCTTTCTGGCTATGATGGTGGTTAACAGTTCCCGATCTTTGTTCAGCTGTCCAAGAACTTCCTTGTTGCTTGTATGTTCGGTCCAAGAAATCAGGGCCGGATCTACCTAAGGGCTGTTTGGGCTGCAGCCCAGGGCCCCGAGGTTACAAGGGGCCCCCAGACCCCGCTAAAAACAATAGGCGATAATTTGAATTTAAAAAAATCTAAAATTAAAAAAAAACTACCATAATTTTTAATTACTGCACTCATTACAAAAGTATCTTCACGTATTCAAATGCAACGATTATCTCGTTCACTGTTTATTTATCGGAAAAACTATCAAGTTCATTGTTTATTTTCAGAAAAAAACAAGTCTTAATTTGCAGCCAATGTCTTGGTCGAAAGCATAAAAGTGAGCTGAGACACGCAACTTACAGCTAGATAGAGACAGCGAAAAAAAAAGAAAGAAAAAAATGTGCAAAAATTGGGACCTTTTTCCAATAAAACATAAAAACGAACGACAAAATCGCGAAAATCATCAAACAAACAAACAAACAACGCTTTATTGTGCAAAGCCAAAACAGCTTCATCGACAAAGCACCACAAACAACAAAATCACAAAAAAATACAAACAACAAAAATACACAATACAAATAATACAATTCAAAAAAATTTAAGTCTTTAAAATTACAAAAGAATATACATGGACAATTTTAGAACAGTACGCAGTAAATAGATATAATTTTTAATTACTGCACCTATTACAGCATTGACGTATTCAAATGCCAAACGATCATCCTGTCCAATCAAGCTTATTATCGGAAAACTATCAAGTTCATTGTTTATTTTCAGAAAAAAATCAAAGTTTTAATTTACAATAATGTCTGGTCGAAAGTATAAAAGTGGAGCTGAGAAACGCAAATTACAGCTAGATCGAAAAAAAGAAAGAAAAAAATGTGCAAAAATTGGGACTTTTTTCCAATCAAAACATGAAAACGAACGACGAAATCGCTGAAAATTCATCAACAAGCGACAAGAGAGGATCTTATCTGAAGAGAATCTATTTGAAGGGAGTAGCAAATCGCAACACCAAGAAAAAGACAAATGATGAAAATGTGCAAAGTCTTGACTACCAGCAATCCTATGATCAAACGGCAAACGATATTGGTGTTCAGCGACAGGATGGTAACACCGAGACGGAAAGAAATTTAGACAATACAATTTTGAGTTTGAGAAATATGTTGACGTGGGCTTGTGGCCAGAATTGCTAAATAATGATTTAATGACATCCTCTCACATAAAATGACTGACTTTCAAAATAAAAATCCAAAAAATATATATGCAGCTTCTATAAAGAAATACAAGGAACAAAACAGAGCATTTTCAAATAGCCATTTCACTAAAAAATTAAAAATGGTCAATCACTGGAAAGATCTTGGCTAACATAACATAAACCAGTGTTTGTGCTGTTTTTTGTTTGCCTTGCAAACTTTTTTTTTAAACCTCTTCTCAATACACGACTGGAGTTTCTGATTGGAAACACATAGGAACTTGTTTAGAAACCCACGAAAATTCTAATGAACATAAGAAATCAATGTTAGTGTGGTTGAAAAGAAAATAAATCTGTTTTAGGCAAGCAGCTTCAGGAGTAATTAAGAAAAGAAATATATTATTATCAGAATGTCCAAAATCGGGTAATTGTAGTGGTAAAATTTTTGAGTATAAGAGGCTTAGCATTTAGAGGTTCCGAGGAAGTATTTGGTTCTTCACATAATGGTAATTTTATGGGGGGTCTGGAGCTATTGGCAGAGTTCGATGCAGTCATTCGTGAACACATTGAACCACGGGAGCTGCGACCAAAACCGATAATATCGTACCGAGTATCGTACTTATCAAAAACACACAAAGACACAAAATATTATTCAACTGTGATGGATTCTACACCAGATCTGTCTCATAATGACAAACTTGCTATTGTATTACGATACTGTTTTCGGGGAAAAGTATATGAAAGATGTGTAGGGGGCCTTCATTAAAATTAGTAGTCGTACTGCCTTACATTTATTTAATATTCTACAAGACTTTATAGAAACAAATGGATTACCACTGTGTAATTGTAGGGGGAAATCTTATGACAACGCTACCAATATGGCGGATCACTACAATGTTTTTTTACATGGCTATTAGTTGAGTACTTAGGTAGGCCCCTAAGTAGTTACAGCCCAGGGCCCCACAAATTTACGATCCGCCCCTGCAAGAAATCTTAAGGATTCTTATCATATTATATAAACATCATATTAATAGTGTTTAATTGACGTTTACTCTAGTAGAAATAGTTTTAAGTTCTGAAGTATTGGCTATTTCTACTTGAATTAATCATGGTAGAGATCAACTTTTTGCCTTAAAACTATATCTGCTAGAATAACTGCCCAGAAAACAATAATAATATGATTTTTTCAAAGAGAGTGACATTACAAAAAATCATAAACACCATTTTATAGGTCTGTTGACTAGGACCAAAAACGAAAGCACGATTTTAATGTAAAAAATACGAAAAAATGTTAGTGTCTTCTTCAAAGACGAATATCTCAAAAAAATAAAGCTTTTGAAATGAAGCAAAGAACAAACTATCGAGAAAAGATACACCTAGGTGATAAAATTATTTTTAAATTTCTTGCTTTGTTATTTCTAAATTTCTTGTGTGGAGTTGTTACAGTACGTTGATACTCCACAGGGTGATTCAAACTTTCATCAAAATACCGACATTTTGTTCTTCCTCGTATAATTGACAGATGGCAACTTTCATTTTTAATTTAGAGAAAATACTAAAAAGTCAAATAATTTAGCTACAAATTGCTTTAAAACCCATCAAAATCAGTCTACTAGAACACAATATATAAAACTTTAAAATACATGGAAATTTTAAGGTGTCCGTTTTTCGTGCCGGTGAGTGTGTACTCGTAGTGTGTTGGTCCTATAAAAATATTAGGAATAAACATGAGTTTTTCTCACTAAAGTGCTTGTTGAACTCAAAGAACTTCAGTGTTGTTTACTACTTCAATTATTTTATTACTTAACTTGTTCTTTGTAACTTGACTAATACACTAAAATACCTATTACCTTGAGGTAGTCATTGTTTAAGGCAGATATTGTGATGGTCACGAAGGAAATTATAAGTGCTGCTACGTTCACATTACCAATTTCTTCAAATACGGCAACCAACGTCTAAAATAATACACATTAACAATATTTTTTAATATATTAAAATTTATTATAGTCGGATTACAATCTTTGGGGACTTTGGTGAATCTTGGGTGTAGTACTTTATTAGTACACTACTTAAAACATATGAGTTGGATGTAATTTTCATTAAAGAAATTAAAATGTCAATTTTCCGGAAGTGTTATATTCAGAAGTCTTGACTAGTTTATCATGATACAAAATAACTACGAAATGCTGATTTATTGAAGCTCTACTTGAGAATTTAATAAAAAACATCAAAGTTACATAGACTAAAAGCCGTTATATCCTATATACTTACATATACGTTCACGAAATATCCTTTAAATCTAGGTATACTTAATCCAAGAAGATCCTTAATTTGAGATACTAAAACTTGAATAGCTGCTCCTGTAGTGAATCCACTAACCAATGTTTCTGATAGCAATGCGCTCACTATACCCAATCTTAACACGAACATGATAAACTGAAAATATTCTAGATTAATTACATTTTACTTTATAATACTTATTTATCAAAAATATTGTTAACTTAAAATTCACAGTTACGAATATCTCGTTAATACATGATTTTTCAATTCCAGTTTTTTGCTCATGTTTAAACCCACTGCGAACTAACAGAACTGTTTCATTTGCAGCTACTATAGAAAGATACCGGTAGCCGGCCGTAGCTCCAGCGTTAGTGTGTCGATCTGCGGAGCGGAAGGTACACTGGGTTCGATCCCCAGCCAGTATGGTCGCTTTATTTATTTAAATAAAAATATTTATTTATCTAAATAGAGCGACCAACGTGCCGCCACCTCAAGGAAGGCAATGGCAAACCACCTTGAGTATATTTGCCTTGTACAGCCTCTCAAATATGCCGTTCGGATTCGGCAATAAACTGTAGGTCCCGTGTACTTGTGAAACACTGATGACACACATCACAAGTACATGCGAGAGGTAGCCGACGCTCTATATAGAGTATGACACTGTAAGAAGAGTAGATAGAAATATATTTTATTTATCAAAACTTATCTTCTTCTTGCGGTGCCGTGTCTGTCTTCAGGCGTTGGCGATCTCCATGACAATTTCGTTGAATAGGTCTCTATCTCTTGCTGCATGAAACAGAGCCTCTCTACCCCAGACCAGACCGGCCCAGTTCCGTGTATTTTTCAGCCATGAGAGTTTCTTTCGATCTATCCATCTTCTACCTTCGACTTTTCCTTGAATGATCAAACGGGGAATATAGTATTTGGTGTCTCGCATTATGTGTTCGAAGTAGCTAACCTTTCTGGCCTTGATGGTGGTTAAGAGTTTCCAATCTTTATTGAGCTGTCCAAGATCTTCGTTGCTTATGTGTTTGGTCCAAGAAATCTTAAGGATTCTCCGGCTGCACCACATTTCAAAAGCTTCTATTTTATTTATATGTTCGCCTCTTAGTGTCCATGTCTCGCATCCGTAAAAAAGAGTGAACCATGTAACAACGCAGTGCTTGTAATCGGGTTTGCAGTGACAGGTATCTAATTAGTGAGCGTGGCATTCCATTTTTTGAATGTTCTACGTGCCATTTCAACTCTTGCTTTTACCTCTTCGTCACATGTATTGTCACTATTTAGCCAGTTTCCTAAATATCTAAAATGTGGTACTTGTTCAATATTGTGTCCGCTGATTTTTATCGGGATTGGATTAATTTGTTTTTTCCCCACCAACATCCATTTCGTCTCCTTGATATTTATATTAATACCCCATTTGGAACTATACAGGGTGAGTTTTCTAAGATGTTCTCTATGGGTATCACGGAAACTACTGGTGATAGAGATTCGGTTAAATGGAGAAAGAATTGCAGTTTTGTGGGGTCATAAATATGTGCCTTTCAGATTTTTGAAAAATCATGGCTAAATCGTTCATGGCTTACTAGATATTTCGAAAAAAAAACAAATTTTGGTTATTTTAAAAATCGTCCCTAATTCCATTACAATCTGTTTTAGACAAAAAGTTTTCAGAAAACGTTGTAGATAATCACATCCTTAATGAGATTGTGTCCTCCGTTTTTTCTAAAGTCTGTCATTTTTAACATATGACACAAACATATGTTTTTTTTAAATGGAAACCATAGTTGGCCATGACTTCATAAAAAGCGCCATTTTAAAGCTTTTCAGCGATATAAGCTATAATATTTTTTTTTTAAAAATTACTCAGCTATAGCCAATTCTTATCGTTTTTAATCAATTTCACTTAGTTAGCCATGGAAACAAGTTTAATCGTCACATCCAAACATTGTAGATTAAAATACACAAAAGTTGTTAGTATGAGTTTTTCAAATGAAGAAAAGCGTGTAGGATTATTGGTTCAACTTTTCTTGGCAATAGATATTCGAGGATACGTTGACCGGTGAACAGTACTTACGTTTTTTAGAGAACGGTTTTCAAGACATGTTAGAAAAGCTAAATTTAGATACTCACGCATCAATAGAGTGGTTCCAATATAACTTTCATCATGACGCCCCCCGTAATGAAAGATTTTTTTTATTTTAAAAATTACGTACTTTAATATTATATAATAATTATGTAAACACAGAGATAGGAACAGGTGGACCAATTGCATGTGCCTCCTTGATCACCTGACCTATCCATTTTAGATTTTTTTTATGCAGATGGTTAGTAAGGTTTAACAAAGAACTTATGAATTAAGAGAGGCACATGAAGAGGCGGTATGGGAAAAGTGTATGTAGTGATATTATTTTTTTCATTTTTAGTTTGAATAACTAATGAATGAACTAATTGAAATTAGCCGATAATGATTAAAAAGTAATTGGCTTCAACTCAGTAACTTATTAAAAAAACATATTATAGCTTATATCGCTAAAAAGCTTAAAAAAATGCGCTTCTTATGAAGTCATGACCTACTATGGTTTCCATTTAAAAAGTTGTTCAACTCAATCTCATTAGAGATGTGATTATCTACAACTTCTATCTGAAAACTTTTTGTCTGAAATAGATTATAATGGAATTAGGGACAATTTTTAAAATAGCCAAATTTTTTTTTCCAAATATCTAGTAAGCCATGAACTTTTGCAAAAATATGAAAGGCGCATATTTATGACCCTACAAAACTGTAATTCTTTTCCCATTTAACCGACACTCTATCTCCAGTAGTTTCCGAGATACCCATAGAGAACATCGTAGGAAACTCACCCTGTATAGCTTCATGTGCTCTCTGTCTAGCAGCTTTTGCAAGTCTTCCATGCTTTCTGCGACAATGGCGGTATCGTCTGCGTACCTTACGTAATTTATGATCTCGCCTCCAATTTTAACGCTTTCTGTTCTGCCGGATAAAGCCTCGTAAAAAATGTTCTCTCTCTTTCTAACGTCATTTGTAGTTCCTACATCGACCCTAACAGTAGCAGTTTGATTGTGTAGTATAAGTTTACAAAAAGGCGCATGTCATAGTTGACGTTATACGATCTCGAGCCGAATATCCGAGATGCCGAAAGAGCTCTGTATGTTCGACTCGATCAAATGTTTTCTCAAAGTCGGTGAAGCAAACATAGATGTTCTTGCAAATTCAAAACTTATAACGTTTTATATTTAAAGATGTTTTATATTACAGGGTTTAAAAAGACATCCTACATTTAATATGTATTAGATGATTTCATTCTCTTGTCTTTTTCAAATACACGTTTAGAAATTAAAAAAAATACACAATGTTAGCTTAGATAATCAGATGTGATCAGAAAGTTTTCTGATCAGGATGGCTTTGGAAGTTAAACAAATTTTAATATAATATCATTTCGTAAGATTTTTTTATCTGTCATTGTCTAAAGTATCATCATCATTTTCAGCTTTTCCAACCATTTCCAATTATATGTGAGGGAGGCTACACCCTCACATATTTAGATAATTTCCTTGTAACAGGGCTCATTGTTGTCTATTGTTGGCTATGCGGGCCAAATTATCCCTGCTGATTTCTTAATATCATGGTTCCATCTCAGGATTGGTCTTTGTCTATGTCTTTTAATTTCCCTTGGGTACTATATGCTGAAATGTTTGTGGTCCATCTGTTGTCCGTCCTTCTTGTCAGATGTCCTGCCCACTGCCATTTGAGGGATTTGATTCTTTGGATGACATCTGTTACCTGGGTCTTTTGTATTATCCACTCTATTTTTTACGATATTTCTTGGTTATTTCCAACATAATTTTGTTCCATCGAGCGTTGCGCGTCCTGCAATTGCCTTATACTGTCCATTTTAAGTGTCCAGGTTTCGTATGTGGCATTCTAAATTTGAATACGATTGAGTTTCTTCCATATGTACCCGATGCTAACTTAATTCTTCTATTGATTTCTGGTAGTAAAGGTCCTGAGCTGTGTAATAGATGTCCCAAATAGTATATATTTTCTTCTACTATTTCCAGTGTTGTGTTATTTATTATATACAGGGTGGCCCATCGAAAACGTTCCGCAAGACATAACGGCCAGGATATTCTTTTTTTCAAAAAATCCAAAAACACGTCAATTTTGTTTGTGAGGGGGACAACTTTTCCCCAAAAATTATTGCAAAATCTTCTACCCTCTAAGCGGGGGTGTCATCCCCCAACTTTTTTCAAATGGGAAGGGGGATCAAGTGGCGCCGCAATGAAAAGAGCTTTCTATTATCTATATTTCCCCGCTTCGTTTTTGAAAATCGGTTGAGTCATTGAGAAAATATGAAGGATTGAAATTTGAAAAGTTTATTTAAAAATTTATCAGAGTAAAGGATGAGGATAAATTCTTTCGACCAATTTGCTGTTTTTTCTTGTTATTTCTAGATGTTTACGCATTTTTTCACTTGCCACAAGGTTGAACGATCAGGTGCGGTCCCAATATCGTTAAACTGACCTACAATAGAATTTCCAAAAATACCAGCCCACGACGATCAAAATCATCTTCGTTGAATTCTTGTACCAAATGAACTTTGTACGGGTGGAACTTGTGTTTTTTTAATATCGTTTGGACACTTGTACGATTCACGCCGGTCGCGGTCTCATTGGCTAATTTTCTTGTACTCAGCGTACTACCCATGGCAACTTGGCCCAATACGAATACCTCCATAGCTTCATTTACTACAGGATTTTCCCTCTGCCTCTTTTTATTCATAACGGAACCAGGTTCGTGAAATTTTGCTACTAAATCGCGAACAATTTTGCCATAAAGGGGTTTGTCAGGATGGCGTTCATTGAATATTTGCGCAAACCGATTGCCACATTCATTATTTTTAAAATAAAGTTCGATTATATCCACTTTTTCTGCAAGTGAGTACACCATAATTGTCAAAAAGTTTAACGATATTGAGAAGAACTTCAACACACAAGTCACAGAACAGCTATCTAGCAACTACCGCACCTGACCGTTCAACCTTGTGGCAAGTGAAAAAATGCGTAAACATCTAGAAATAATAAGAAAAAACAGCAAATTTTCAAAATTCATATTTTCTCAATGACTCGACCGATTTTCAAAAACGAAGCGGGGAAATATAGAGAATAGAAAGCTCTTTTCATTGCGGCGCCACTTGACCCCCCTTCGCATTTGAAAAAAGTTGGGGGGATGACACCCCCGCTTAGGGGGTTGAAGATTTTTGCAATCATTTTTGGGGCAAAAGTTGTTCCCCTCAGAAACAAAATTGACGTGTTTTTGGATTTTCTGAAAAAAAAATTACCCTGGCCGTTATGCCTTGCGGAACGTTTTCGATGGGCCACCCTGTGGAATGTCTTTCTGTCTACTATGTAGTTCGTTGTACATTAATTTAGTTCTTGCTAAATTCATTTTGGGACCTACTTTATTGCTGGCTGTATTTAGTTTGTTAATTTGTGCTTGTAGTTCTTCAGGACTATTTGGACAATTAGGACTATGTCATCAGCGAATCTTAGACGGTTAAAATATTCTCCATCTATTTTTAAACCTTTTTCCAGTGTATACTTATTTTTTTATGAAACCCATTATTTTGTTTGTTGAGGTGAGGTGAAGTAAATTTTTAATTTTAATTAATTTACTTTTTGATATATTTTCTCAAAAAGTGCACTGTTTAATAAATGTGGAATAAGATTTAATAACCTTACGTGAACTATTGCTACAACAAAAGTAACAGCCGTGGCTACTTGGATCGGACTATATCCTGTCGGTTCTGTATCCGATGAATTTCCCGATGAATCAAAGTAAGCTGGGTCACTATGTTGTATCACTGCTTTTCCAGTCATAAGACAAGCGACTGAAAATGTTCCTGAAACACAAAAAATCTATATTCATACTATAATGTACCTACTTAAGGATAACGTAACATATTGGAAATTGTCATGATAATGGGCTCTTTCACAAAAAATTATATACCCGATTCAAGGATAAAATCTGAAATAGAAGACTATTTTCAGTATATTTATCCAAAAAAAATAGTTCCATGACATTGAATAACTTTTTATAGGCCCTCAAAATTGCTTTAATTTGAAATAATTTTAAAGCGCCAATTGATGACGTATAAAAAATACGCCCAATCACATTGCAGAACCGTGCTCGTGCGCCAGCCAACAACTGGCAACATTGCGATTTGATTTGACCAGCACCACCTTAACTCAAGGCCAATTAACATGATATGGGCAAGGCAAATATGGCGACGAAGGCAGCGCATTATTAAATTGTTTACCTTTAACCTGACAAGCAGGTAGTGGTTTCTCGTTGCATGATAGCGGTTTCCGATTGCATACCAGAAATAATTAATTATCTCTAGTTTTTTGTGTTTCTGCAACACGTTTGTTTAGTTCTTAGTGTTCAGTGCATGCTGTGATCAGAAAATTGTGATAAAATAACAGTGTAATAAAAATCCAAACCAGACATTCCACATAGGGAACTTCAAACTTTTGTGCTTGTTGTACTCCTCTATTATTAATTCTTTTAAGGTAAGAACTAGAAGTATTTATCAAGATATTACACCTAAATGAGTTACTTACAATAATCAAAAGATAGGTATTAAAGGGTAGGTATTAACATTTTATTGTAGCATACCTTTTACATGCTCTGTTCCAAATTGTCACAAGAATTATAGAGGGGGTCCCAAGATTTCTGCTTTTATATTCCCCAAAAATGACGAGCTTCGTAAAAAATGGTTGACAGCTATTGAAAGAGATAATTTTACTCCTACTAGTAGTTCTCGGGTAAGAAGTGCATTAAATATGCCTCAAAAAGGCCAAAGGCCAAAGCCTCTGTTACCCTAGTGAGGATGTAGTTATGGCTACTGCTTACACTTACCTTACTATAAGTAAAATATTGGGAGAATAGTCAAGCTTTTTACATCAAAAAGATCACAGAAAGATATTGACAACATTCACATTTGAAAATATAAATGGCCTGGATGTAAGTCTTTTTTAGGTCACAATTGCCCCTCACATACGTCAGAATTTATTATTAAATCCATCTTGTTCAGAATATCCAATATTTTATTGAAGAACTATGCAAAAGAAAGAAATGACGTTATAAAAAGGTATTTAGTTTTTTTTCTATATAAAATCTTGAAACACATATTATATTTTTTAGTTATCCTCCCCTATTATAGTTTAAATTTATTCCCATTTGTGTAATGCTGCAAAACATAGGAAAAATATTCCATATTTTTTGACCCAAGCCAGTGTAGTTTATAATTCCAAGAGCATTTACCAAGGCTTTTACTAAGACAAGTAACTTCCTATACTGTCCATAATAGTATATATTTATCTAACGTGCAGTAACTTCTAAACTATGGTAGGTGAGTGTTTGCAATTGAATATTTAGTTTATATTGCTATTTTCTGTCATATATTTCTGGTTATTTCTTTTTCCGATGATTTTGAACACCCTATATATGCTACCTCAAGTTTGAATATTTACACACTAGTACACTATCTACCTATTTTCTGAGAAAGCAGACCTTTTTATAAAAAGTAACTAACTGATGTTTTTATAAAAGTAATAATACAAAAAATTCCATACTTATGTGGAGAGCTTTAGACTCCCTGTATATTAAAAAATTAGTGAAATATTACGTAATCTAACCCGACATTTGTGTGAAAAATGTCTATTTGGAAATAAAACAGGTTTTAAAATACGTGCCAAATAAAGTACTTCTAACTCCACCATATTGGAAAAGGTTGAATAGCCTTGTGTGGAGATGGTGGTGGGTCAGCATGGTGGCCCGGCCGCGTTGCCGCTTTTCAACATGCCAGGTGTGACGTATTAAAAATAAAGTGCGGATTTTTATTCTGGGCTTTTTTGTTTTTATTTATTTTCTTAAGAACGACTTCAAATTTTTCGAAAGTGAGATAGCAGAAAATTCTAGAATTAATTGCTTTATTCAATTATGCTAATTCCAAAATATAGTGAAAGACCCCATTCCGTAATAGGAAGAATATTATAAATTGGACAAACTTCTCAGTAACTGTATACTTGTGCAAAAATTAAAAGTTTTTATTTAAGTGGTGTTTTGCTTATAAGCTAGCAGAAAAAAAATATGTAGAGATTATACCATACGATCGAAAAAAAAACGGCGTCAAAGACGGCTGGGGAATAACAACAATGATAATTTTGGCGAGGTCAAATCCCTAGACGTCCTTTACCTAGCCCGTACTCATCTTTATTTTTTAATGGCGCTATCAGTTGGCCTTAAGTAAGTTGTAATTTATTTTTATATTGAGTAAAAATAATTTTTAAATAGTGTGGTTTAAAATTCGCGAAAAACTATTTTTTTGGAAATAGACTTGTGTGTCTGAAAAAACGTTTTATTCTTTTTTAATCTTCCTAAAATAGTTGCCAAGTTTCATGTCAGTTTTTAAAAAACGATATCTATAGATTAACCTCGCCATAATAATCATCGATTGTCATTCCCCGGCCACCTTTGACGCCGTTTTTTTTTCGATCATGCGGTATATATTTTATGGTTGGTTGATATTATTTCTTTATCTTAATAAGATTGTAAAATATGTTTTCTTTCTATTATTCTATATTTAATTTTCAGTATTTTTTTATTCGGGCATTGTCCTTTTTGTCAACAACATAATTATTAATGTCTGTTTGTATCTATTTTTTATTATCGAGCTGTATTCTTAAATAAATCTGCATATCAATAAGTTAAAATTAAAATTTAAAATTATAATTTTCAAGAAACAGTATTTTTTAAGATGAGTGTAGATTATATTATAATTAACAGTTAACAGTTTAATTATTAGTAACTTATTTAATTAGATTTTAATATTAGGAAAGCAGGCAGCTCATTAAAGTAATATTTTTCCTATATTTAAGATTATATAATGTGTGATTAAGAGGAGTATAATATTTAAAGTAAAAATACCTAATGAATTATGTCTTGATGTTCCAAAAAACAGGTATATCAGCACTGGGAAGAAGGCCATATAGATTCCTACAACTGGGGCTACATTTCCCAGCATAGCGTAGGCCATACCTAAAAAATAAAATAAAGTTGGGGTCAACATCAAAGTAATCTATATTACTCAATTTAATCACAATATAAATAATCTTTTTAAAAATATATTAAAACAGATTTCCAAAAAGGAATATAGGATTATTAGGTATCTGTATCCATATTCTCATTATATCATATTAATTTATTTTGCGCTTTTATACAGGGTGGTCGGAATTATATTTCGGAAACTTCGGCAGCATATTCTGCAGATAAAAATAAGTAAAAAAGTTCGTATAAATGTATGTCCTCAAACGCTTAGTTTCGGAGATACGGGGTGTAGAAATTTCATTTTTATTTCGATTCTTTCCAAATAATTTCTGAAGTAACGTCAATATTTGGATGAAAATTGGTGTCTGGGAGATTTTTGACATGACAAATCTTTATGTCTTAAATATCATGTCTTCTCTTTATGTCACAGTGGCTGTGGTAATCACTAAATTTCAATTTTAGGCAATATTTTTTTTTCCGGTAGTTTTTTTCGTCCAAAAATGTTAAATATTTTTTTTTTCTCAAAAACGGCGAATATTAGGTATAGAGTGTTTACACAACAATATTCATAGAATTTTACAGAGAATTTAAATATGTAATCAAAAATGGGGGCGTCCATTTAAAATAAGAAAGTAGCTGTCAACTTCCGGTATTTCCGGAATCGATAGATCTCATTGTAAAACAATGATGTGCAAAAAATCTTCGATCTAGATATTGTGGTTCTCTAGAAACTATCTTGTTCTAATCTATCCCTAACTTTTTTAAGTGATTTATCTTATTTTTTTTTATTTTTTTTAGATTAGAACAAGATACACATTTAATAGATAGAACAAAATTAAACATAGATAGTATTTTGGAATTGTTAACACTTTGTGTTAAAACTACTTATTTCCAATTAAATAATGAATTTTTTCAACAATTTTTCGGTATGGCAATGGGATCACCTCTCTCTCCTTTGTTAAGTAATATTTTTATGAAAGATTTTGAAAATAATACAATAAATAGTTTTTCAAAAAAGCCTGTAATATGGCTGAGTTATGTTGATGATATTTTTGCAATATGGCAACATAACGTTTCTGAAATAGACATTTTTTTGGATTATACAAATTCTCGCGAACCTACCATAAAATTTACTTTAGAAGTAGAGAGAGGTAATCGTTTGCCATTTCTTGATGTTTTAGTGTCAAAGTTTCAAAATAAACTAATTTTAGATGTTTACAGAAAACCCACAAACACAGATAGATACTTATAAATTTCACATCTAATCACAGTATGTAAGTGTAAAAAAAGGTGTTATAAAAAGTTTATATGATAGGGCAAAAATAATATGTACAGACGACATTTCACTAAATAGAGATATAAACCACATAAAAAATACATTAATAAAAAACGACTATCCACCATATTTTATTGACAAAACATTAAACGAGAAACACAAACCCCAAATCATAGACACAATGATAACACACACAATACACAATATATACAACTTACAATTCCATACATACGAGGCGTTTCGGAAAAAGTTAGAAGGATAGAAAATATATCATACGAACATCTTTCAAAACACAAAATACACTTAGATCCATTTTATCACATACTAAACCAATGAACCTACAGACCAACAAACAAAAAATGTAATATACCAAATACCCTGTGAATGCGATAAATTTTACATTGGTGAAACATCTAGACCCTTAAATGTCAGAATTAAAGAACATAAAGATTATTTAAGAAAGGGAGATTTTCACAAATCTAAGATTTGTCAGCATTCTTGGGACACAGGGCACAGAATAAATTTTAATAATTAATTAAAAATTATAATGAAAGAAGCGATAGCCTCTAAAAGAAAAACAAAAGAGGCTTTTTTAATTCAATCTAATAAAAATAAATGTATTGCTCATGCATCTGTAGATGTTAGTAATGTATGGCAATCGCTTCTTTGATTTTAAAGAACAATAGATACAACAACATAAATAAACATAACATGCGTAAAATTTAAAAATAATCATACAGAAAGTTTGGAGCTTTTTGGTTTTACCTTATTAAGTAATTGTTATCAGGTAGTAATTGTTAATTTTGAAGTTTAAATATCAAGTTAAAAATGTCATTTTAACAGAATGTCAACGGCTTCTTGTAGACGTATCTGTTTTTAAAAAAGTAAAGTGTTCTCGAATAGTTGAATTTAAATATTTTAAATAGTTTTTTTTCTTTATTCTTTGTATTTTTTTGCTTCCGACGACGGAAAGAGATAACTTTCCGAAACGTTGAGCATTTTTTTTTGTTAAGCAAATTTGTATTACTATAAACATAACTTCTGACAAGCACCCAAGTAGCATCTATCTGACTTCGAACTAAATCTGACCTGAAGCGACGTCAGCCTTTGTGCAAATTTAGGTCGGGTGCTGGTGATGCGACCTGTGATGTCGCTTTCCTATTAAAAGCGACGTCGTTGGATCCGAGTCGGTAAATCCAACGATCTGTCGACGTACAAAATAACAACGTACCATTTTGATTAATTTCCCAACGTCGTTCCCACGTTGGCTTGCACGACGTACATATACTTGAACTAGCCCGACGTCTACCCGTTGTCCGAATAGGATACGTCTTACTGATAATCCCTAAAGTAACGTCAAATTATATTTTGTTATATTTTATGTTCATATTTATAACCTAATTTACGTATCTCTATTTACGTCGGTAAATACAACCCATTGAGTAGCATTTGCGACCTAATGAACATCATGAACATAACCTAATAAAAAGTTTTTGTAAACAAACTTAATTTTTTTATTATGCCTAAAAAAACACTAAAAAGGCATTTAGAAGAGGTCGAGGCTTTTGCAAAATAATAATAGTAGTAGTGATGTCTTGCCTCCACCCGTAAATGCTTTTTATCCGGAAGAGATGCTGCATTACACTGATGCATCTTACTTTCATTTTTTAGCTTAGGAAACCAGCAGACCCCATCCTCCTCCGACATGTGAGGTTAGTCTTAAAAAAGTGGCTGCCCATTTTTTTAAGGAGAAAACAAAAACTAAAATATAGTTGCATAAATCCACAAATCACTGATACGCGAAGTGAGGTTACGTGGCGTACGTTGGAATTATATACGTCATAATACGATTGCCGGTCGTCCGGTTTGATGACTTCGGTCGTGTGAGACGACTAATGTTGGAGACCCGGTCGGAATTGGTATATTAGTAGTTCATATTAAGTCGGACACAGAAATCCGCAATTCTTAACACGTATCCGATTGTCAGCCATTTTAAAATCGTTTTTGTTTTAAAATTTATATTCACATTTCGATTTCGAGTAGAATAATATTGATAAGGTTGAGTTTGGGGGAACCACAGTACAGTTTTATGATTAAACCAGCTAGAAAATAAAAAATATTTTGCGAGTTACTTTTTATAGATATTTTTATTTCATAAATCTACCTAATTTTGAAGGCGCTCGTTGTTTTCCGGAGTATTTTAACCAGATATATCAAGAAAGTGACTTCCGTTGACAAAACTGATGTCTGGATTAATGATTCAGAATTATTATAATATGAAATTAGATAGGCACTTACAGTTATATTCGAGGAGTGATTATGAATCCATTTGTAATTAGGTAATTTGGTTAGGTTTTTATGTATTTTTGGTAGCGAATATGAAACCAAACGTAACGTAAGTGCTTAGCGACGAATTTTAAGTAACTAAAATCCAACGTAATATGACGTTGGTAATTGGTAGAATTACATTCCCTATTAGGTCAGATACCGACGTCGAGGCGACCCGAATCTGTATTCCCCATTTAGGTGCAAATAAGGGTCGTCAGGCGGTCGAACCGACGTTGGTACCCGACGTCGGGTTTATTGAACGCGACGTATACCCGACGTTAGATAACGTCCAAATGCTACTTGGGCAGCGTCCGTTTAGGTTTAACGCAGAAGTGTGTAACAAAAAATAATTATTTTATTTTGTAGAATTTCTTGCAGTGCAGTGGCGAAATACCCATACAGGATTTTTTTGGAAAGATGAATTCGCCACATAGGTATACACATTATAGACATTTTTTAACGAATGATAATGTTTCGTAATTAAAAATTGTGTGTCCTAAATACTCAAACATTTTCAAAATATATTTTATAAATTAAACTATTATTTATACATAAAAATGTCTCTCCTAATCTCTATCCGGATCCAGCGATTCTACGGTAAACAATAATTTTCATAACAATAAGCCTTATCATGATTTTTATTGTACGGGATTATCTAAGAATATGGGCAAATATTTAAATAATAAACGTAATGGTTTACCTTGAGGTATGTGCATTATTGCTACTGTAATTCCGGATATGATGTCGTAGAACAGATCTTTTTTCCAGTTGTATTTTCCTAACCAATCTAATATTGGGAAAAATCCTATGAATACTTTTTTTATACGCAGATTTTCTTTCCATTCTCTTGCGGCATCTGCAAAAATAAAATAAAATTTACATCAATACTGCATACCTAGTACATTATTTGACTGGATGAAAAATTCAAAAAAATGTCAATCTGCTGAACCGTTAAGTGTATTTTACTTTTCGGTGGCAAACTACCCAGCTATTTAATGACTAGTAGAGTATTTTTTTTTAAATAATCATGCAAGAGTTCCCCTATTCTTGATTTCTAGTATACCAATAACTACAGATCTGTAAGCTAATAATTGTATTCTTTATACCATTAAAATTTCTTTTGATTATTTTTTCAGTAAACTTATATTAAAATACTATTTACTAATATTACCTCTCAAATTTTGAAATATTCAGATATTTGATATATAAAATTAATAATAGGCAAATGAAGAATAATTATGTATATCTACGACTGAGAGAATTTATTGACTATTCGATATATTTAAATAATCAAGCATGAATACACCTTAATTTATTGCGTTAAGATTTGCAAAATATCTTGCGATAGTTAATTATATGAAATCCAACAAGCGTACCTACTAATGTAAATATGAAAATTAGTGAAAATGTATATACAGGTTGGCGCACCTCATTCGCCTCGGTTGATTATACGAAAACGGAAAGATGTAGAAACAAAATATTTAATGGGTATATGTGGGGCGCTATGTGCAAAATTTTAAATTATTTTGAAATATACAGGGTGTCTCAGAACTAAGATCCATACCAAAACTATATTTTTTATTTCATTTTTGGATTCTTGGGCCCAAAAAAGGCATTTATTATAAGGGTTAAATAAGTTTAAAATCATTGGTTTTTGAGATATTTAGATATGCATGCTACAAGAGAATTGGTTATCAACAACCTGTATTTTTTAAATAAATCGAAGCAGATTCAAATGCTCTTTCAAACTATATTAGGGTTTTCTATACCTATCTATCTCAGATTTTGAATAAAAAGAGATTTTTAAATAAAATGGCAATTAAGATGGCTGGTATCGCCATGGAAATTTTCTAGTGACAGTTAGTAACTATTTTCAAAATCGACATTAATGCATGGACATTATTATTTAAACAGTTTACTCAAATTTACCCACAATAGTTTAATAATAATAATAATAATTTATTTGCAGAAACAAAAATTACAAAATAATAATAATACATTGTAACTCCTACAGAGATAAATAAATTATCTGTGTGTAGGGCTGGATGTACCTATATAATAATCAACAAACTACTAATACATAAAAATTACAAAATAATAATAATACATTGTAACTCCTACAGAGATAAATAAATTATATGTGTGTAGGGCTGGATGTACCTATATAATAATCAACAAACTACTAATACATAAACATATTTAATCCTTATAATAAATGTCTTTTTTTGGGCTCAAGAATCCAAAAATGAAATAAAATTCCGGGTGTTCCATAAGAAAAAATATAACTTTGGTATGGATCTTAGGTCTGAGACACCCTGTATATTTCAAAATAATTTTAAATTGTGCACATTGACTCCTCACATATACCCATAAAATATTTTGTTTCGATATCTTTCCGTTTTCGTATAATCAACCGAGGCGAATGAGGTGCGCCACCCTGTATAAGCAAAATGCAAATTTTTAAATGCCTAAAATATAATTTTAAATTTAAATTATTCGACTAACTGTGATTTTAAATAATAGTCAAGACATACAGGCGAATTTTTTCATTACTTATGTATGTTTCAATAGGGAATCACAAAACTATTTGTCAATGATAGAAATCGCAAGTTGGCAATAACAAGGAATAGATATTTAGCTTCGGAGAACGATATTGGATATACATATACTACACTACTTTACTTCATAGAGAAATAAATTGATATCAATTTATGAAAAATTAATTACAATATTAAAATACCCACCTATGCTTGTCAATTAGTTATACCGTATGATTGATCAAAATGACGATCGATGACATTCCCTATATAATTTTCCATATAAAATGATAGCGATCATCATTTCATATCCATCGCTGACGCCGTTTTATTTTTGATCATACAGTATATAATATGAAAATATTCCGTAACAACATAATCTATCCAAAGCCAGTTATTCTTGGTTTTAATTTGACATTAATAATATTTATCACTAACCATTAGAATCTTTAGATCATTGGTAATTCACTATCCCATTAAAAAGATAGCATTTGAATGTGATCCCTAACAACATAATCTAACCAAAATCAGTTCTTATTAGTTTTTATTTCACTTCCATATACCGTATGTCCCCGGATGCGTAAATAGAGTCCTTGCTACGGTACAGCGCAGCTGAGCCTTCTGCTGCATCACAGTAAAGAATGTAGTTTTAAAGGGCGTATTTTAATGCTTCATTCCTCCGGAAAAGGCTAGAAAAACTTTAAGCGCGTTAAACGGCATAATGCCGAATATCGGTGGTCCCAGAGCATTAAAGGGAAGAATACCGGCATCGGTTATACGCACAGATGCTCTATGGTGAGCCAATCTGGCACACAGTCACCGAAAACAGAAAGCTTACGCAAAAGTTCGCCTCAATGCAAAGGCAAGTAAATCTGCGCATTTGTAGTGCTTACAGGACAGTATCGGAACTAGCGGCCGGAGTATTGGCGGGCATCCCGCCGATTGACCTAAAAATCAAAGAGAGAGCCAAGAGATACGTAGGACAAGGAAGTCTAGAGTTAGAGACTGAGATTATGAGGCAGTGGCAAAGCAGATGGGAGAATGGAGTAAAAGGAGAGCAGTTGAGGAAACTAATCCCGGACCTGAGAAGATGGACAGAGAGGACCCATGGAGAACCGGACTACTTTCTTACGCAGGTACTCACCGGTCACAGATGTTTCAATACCTACTTATTCAAGTTTCGCAGGAGAGAATCTGATATGTGCAAATACTGTAATCAGCCTGACGATCGAACCAATACAATGTTTGAGTGTCCGAGATGGGAAGATTATCGATTAGCTTTTATGAATAAAACCGGCAAAGCTTTCAAGAGCTTTGAGCCCGAACTATGATGGATGAGTTAATGGAGTCACCTGAGGGCTGGAGCCGAGCATATGGTGTGGTTAAAAATATCTTGGAAGAGAAGATTAGGGACGAATGATTACTAGACAACCCTTATTATGAAGTAATGCGAGAGCAGTTCCGTAATAAGAGGTGTAGGAAACGGAGGAGGGGAAGTTTTTAGTCGGTAGGCAAACTTCATGAAATTCGAATCTGACACACGCCGACCACCAGAACTACAGGTCGGTAAGGTCTTTAGAAGATTTTTTACCCCTCTCAAAAAAAAGCAAATACTTCATTGCTTACCGCGGTACAGCGAAGCGTTCTGCTACGGTACAATTTGTTGTATTGTACATTTCACGTATATCATGCGTTTTGGAGATGGTTATGGACCAGTTACGATGGGATCTCCAAGGATCCCAGAAAATAATCATAGAAGAATTCCAGCGACTGTTTTGGTCAGCCTGCAAAGAAGATGCCAAAGAAATTTATCAGGAGTCTTTACATAATAAAATACATATTATGTTATATCACAATCTTGTAAAATATATTATGATATATAATATGAAATAACAGCGATCTTCATTTCCAAGCCAACTCTGATACCGTTCTTTGTTTAATCATATCATATTCATTATAAAATTGTCTAATAATAGAAAATCCGTATTATTAATTATATTCTTCGACAACAACGACGATGTTGCCTCTACTACCCCGCACTAATTGGGCCACCCCTGTAGGTATATTGATATTTTGATAGAAATATTGTTTCAATTAGTATGACTTCAGGTAGTTTATGTATGTAATTATGCAAATAATGTAAAACTAACTTAGAAAGAAGCTTGAAATACTTAGGAGCTATATATGTATAACTGTATGATAAAGGCTCGGATAAAGGTTTGTATGTAATGCAGTGATTTATACAAAAAATTGATTATTAGTTGATTAAAACAAGCTAACAACACATAATAATATTAAAATATATTTTTCTCTGTAATTTAAATGTTATAATTTTAGAACATGTCCATTAATGCTACTTAAATTTAAAGTTTCAACATATTAAGGTATCATTAGTTATACTGCTATAAATTTAACAATTGAAATAACTCTAATTGTTATAAATTAAATAGGCATAATTTTACGACGGCTATTTGTAAATATGAAAAATAAATCTTAACAATTTTATAATGTAATGTATTTTAAATCACACATTTTTATTTATAACTGATTGTATAAGACCAAATTTTTAAATATAACTTTATATGCTTACATTATATTGTTTACGTTTTATTAGTAATTAAGTAAAGCAGTAATTACAGAGTGACACAAAAAAAATATTAATCAGTAAAATTCCAATCAATAAATACATACAATTTAAAAATTGATTTTTAGATACAGGTGCCTTTAAGGTGCCCGGTGGCGTAGAAGTATAGGCTCTCGTCTACCCATAGATTTAGGAAGAACAGATATCACATTGTGCATTTTAAACCGATCAAACAATCGGAGTTTGACTACGTACTGTCAAAACCAACTGAAATAGAGAAGGCGACATTGCCACATCTCAAATTTGCGCCTATCTACTTAGTTTGATTTCCAGAAAAGGTGACTTTAAAACCTTCACCGGATATCAATATATCTCAATTTCTTAACTAAATTAATAGTTTATTTTTAAAGAAGCATGCGTAATAATATGGTTATTAACCAGAGGATATATGCATTACTATTAAAGGACATGTTTACTGTTTAATGTGCTGAAACGTCTAGAACTATTGGCAACGTCGCTGCTAGTCTTCCAGAATGAAAATGAGAAGTCCGTCCCACCACCCCTCGCGACGGCCATTGGTCCGTTATAGCGTACTATGTTTAGCTTACGGTGTGTTTGAAGTCGGAATCAAGTCCGAAGTGAACTTTTCAGTGTTTTTCAGTAGTTTTTGTTTTTGTTTAACGTACTTTTGAATCTGCGAATTTTCAATATGGCACGACAGTGTCAAGTGTGTGG